GCATCAGAGGAGCCGGAAAGCTGACGTTTCAGGCCTAGACCCTGATTTCTGAAGAAGGGTCTAGGCCCGAAACGTCAGCTTTCCTGCTTCTCTGATGCTGCTTGGCCTGCTGTGTTCATCCAGCTCTACACCTTGTTATCTCTGTGTAGATTTTAAATCTGTCCTTTTTCTACATTCCACAGCAGACAGGTAAAGCACTTCCAGAACGCAGCATTACTTGTCTGGGAATGGGCCTGTCTTTTCCCATCTGACTGACCTGTGTTTCTTTCCATTATGTTCAGATATAATTGGGACAGTGAAATAACAGAAACTACTGAAGTTCTGATGGTGAGTTGTTTCATGTGTCAATTGTTCAAAATATGAAAATTATTTTCAGAGGTATTTGGTGTCAAATGCATCACCTCATCCTATGGAGTAGGCACGATACATAAACCTAGGACACACCAGTGGAGTTTTGCGTCAACTATTGTGATAAAGGATGAGATTGTGTATTAAATACAGTATTCAACAATTGGTACTCTTTTTGGGAATTGTTATTTGAAAGCTAAGCTTGTAAAATGTTTAGTAACGCTGATGTAATTCTCTGAGCATTAAGTTTACAGAAGAAAACCATTTTAAATCATTTTATCCCATCTTCATTTCCTATATACATAGAAACAAAGAAAATAAATAGGAGCAGGAGGAGGCCATTCAGCCATTTTAGCCTGCTCTGCCATTTTAATATGATTATGGCTGATCATCCAATTCAGTACCCTGTTCCCACTTTCAACCCATACTCTTTGATTCCTTTAGTCCTAAGAAATATATCTACATCATTGTTGAAAGCTTTCAAAATTTTGGCCTCAACAGTTTCATATGGCAGAGAATTTTACAGGCTCACCAGTCTGAGTGAAGAAATTTCTCTTTGTCTAGGACCTGAAAGGCCTATACTTTGTCTGTGACCCCTAGTTCTGGACTTCCCAGTCATCGAGAACATCCTTTCTGCATTTGTCCTGTTCTAATGTGGATAACTATCAAATTAGTCCACACCATGCTGCATCTGTCAAGTCTTTGCTCACTCACTTAATCTCTCCAAATCACACTGAAGCTTCTGTGCATTGTCCTCACAGCTCATCCTTCCACCCAGCTTTGTGTCATCTGCAGACTTGAAGATATGACACATGTAGTACTTCAGAAGCATATTTTGTACAGTTGTTTTAGACTAACCATCTCTTTTTACCTGGAAAAAAAAACTAAACTTATAAAAATGGCAGCCATTTAACTAGCCACCTCCATTGAATTCCGACTTCTGTTTTTGTCGCTGGTTGTCTTGAACTGACTGACTGACTGGGCATTGTACACCCCCAGACTTCATGTATGGGAGATCTGAGTTTGGTACTTGGGGTTTTTGGATTGCAATACTATTTGCTACACACTTGACCAATTTAGGAAAGTGTCCCCAGCAGACCTTCTGGTGTTATCCCTCATGACTGTATAAGTTAAGCTTCTGGCTTGGTTTGGGCCTGTAGGTAGGACCTCCCAAAAGGCTTATGGAAATTCTAGATCCCATTAGTCTTCCCAAGGTCACTGAGTCAAGACTAATTGCAAGATATTGCTATTTAAAATATTCTAAAAATTCTTTTTCAGCTCCATTATACAGGAAAAAGATAGATATGTGGCTGATGGTATCCAAAAGAGAGCTAAATACATGGGGAGATGGGCAATGGATGCCATGGACAGGCAATGGAATGATGAAGCATCAAATACCCTTTAATGGATGGTAAAGTATAGAAGCAGATGTGTGTTAAGACAAGATAGGCTGCTTGATATAGTGCCCCAGGGTGTCATAGAATCATTGAATGCCCACAGTGTGGAAACAGGCCATTTGGCCAACAAGTCCACGCAGACCTTCTGAAGAGCATCCCACCCAGACTCAACCCCCTACCCTATCCCTGCATTTCCCATGGCTAACACACCTAAGCTATACATCCCTGAACACTCCTTCAGGAAAGCAAGAGAACTCCACAGTACAGCACAGTGGCTCACTGGTTAGCTCTACTGTCTCACATTGCCAGGGACCTGTGTTTGATTCCACCCTCGGGTGACTGTGCAGTCTCCACACAGACGTTCTCCCCTGTTAGTGTGTGGTCCAAAGATGTGCAGGTTAGGTGGATTGGCCATGCTAAATTCCATTATTCGAACTCCAATGCAGCAGAGGGAAGCAAAACGTAACAGCACCAGTTCCACCCTCTAGACAACTATTCAACTATCACAGCTAGAATACCAGGTACAGAAAACAGATACCAAGGATGGAATGTAATTAATGGCCTATGAAAGTTACTAAGTGATTTTTAAAATATCTCCACAGGTATTAAAAACAAGAACCTCAAAAATCCACAGACTCTCCGAATTTATCAGGTGAGTGTATTAATTACTCTCTGAATGGCAGAATTTATCCCATCAGTGTGGGTTTTGTTTTAATAACTTAAAAAGAATGAAGTGTGAAAAACATTCAACCCCCCCCCCCCCCCCCCCAAACTCATTCCTTCCACAGACCACATGCAATCTATCTTGTCCTGAACTTTGACCCATTTATTACCTTGAGAGATTACTATTTAATTTTGAAATGACCTGCAAAGGAAATCAAGCAAGAACTCTAGAATATCAGCATGTACCTTCAATATTAATATCAAATTGGTTGTATTTGTATAAATGGATAAACCTTTCATTTGCCAGTAAGATAATGAACTATCATATGCCAGACTGTATTTTACCACCATTAATTTCATAATGAATAATTATTGTGGATTTTCACAAGTGTAGTTAGTTTCTCATTCACTCAATTAGATGTTCCATTTAGAGATGGAACAAAGAGTGAAGAAGAAAACTATCAGAATTTTGGGATGCCACTAAAGGACCTTTTAAAGTGTATAACCATGGGGGGAAAAGTCTGCATAACTTTTTGTTTTTATGACGAGCACATGATTTAGTTAACACTTTTTAGAAATACAGTCTGAAGTGAATCTTTAATGTTTAATCATTAAAGCTATTTTCAGCTGGACAGAACAGATTAACTTAATTCCCAAGTAAAAGGCTTTGGGCTTTCGATGCAGAAAGCTATACATCTTGTTCATAAATGTTTAAGTGCTTCACGAATCCATTCTGGAGAAGTCTGTAAATGACCATTTAGATTTCCATACTTCCATTTACTAAAGTGAATTCTCCATTTAAAAACATACTGATGCCATAAGCATTATCATGTATTGGTAAGCAGTGTTTTGAGCTGAGGTCCTGAAGTTACTGCCTCTCTTAGAGGATTTACTCGGTTGCAAATGGAACAGGTTTGGGAAGCAAATGGACCCGCCTCTGTTGTAAGGAAACCAGAGATTGGCCTCCTGAATGATCTGTTAGTTACACAGAACTTCAGGACCTAAATCATCCTCCCGTTTTGATGGTGAGCCTCTGATCACACATCTGCATTGTCACTAACACCACTTATTTCTACCTATTACAATCCTGCCTGACTCTCCGCTTACATAACGCTGCCTGACTTCTGGAGTACTTGAGAGGATTCAGAAAAGATGTCCCAGGATATTGCTGGGAATGAAGTGTTTGAGTTATAAGGAGAGGCTGGATAGGCTAGGACATTTTTTCACTAGAGTGTAGGAGGTTGAGATTTATAAAATCATGAGGTATAGATAAGGTGAATGGCAGGTGTCTTTTCCCTAGGATGGGGTATTTCAAGACTAGGGGGGCATATTTTTAAAGTGAGAGGAGAAAGATTTTAAAAAAGAAATGAGGGGTAACTTTTTTTTTAGTGGTTCACGTGTGGAATGAACTTCCAGAAGAAATCGTGGATGCGGGTACAGTTACAACATTTAAAAGTCATTTGGATAAGTACATGAATAAGAAATGGTTGGAGGGATATGGGCCATGTGCAGGCAAGTGGGACTAGTTCAGTTTGGGATTATGATCAGCATGGACTGGTTGGACTAAAGGGACTGTTTCCGTGCTGTTGAACTCCGAGTCTCTGCCTGTGAAATGCTGCCTGATGGTGCTGTTGTCTCAGTTTATCTATTGCTGAAATCCTTGTCCATTCCTCTGTTTCTTTGACTGGCTTCCTTTTACCCTCCATTGCCGATTATCCTTACTTGTACCTAAGCCCCTGTAAAGGTCACCCATGATATGCTGACCTACATTGGCTCCTGGTGAAGCTAACAGCCTGGATTTTAAAATGCTCAACCTTGTTTTCAAATTCCTTCGTGGTCTTATCCATTCCTATCTCCTGTAAACTCCTTGAGCATGCAGTCTTCCTGAGATCTGTGCTCCTTTCTTTCATTCATTCTTGCCTCGAAATCATCCCTGATTTTTAACTTGTCCAGCATTACTGCTGGACCTTCAGCTGCCTCAGCCCTGAGCTCTGCAATTCCCTTCCTAAACCTCTAGGTGTCTTTCTTCTCTTCTTCAAGAGACTCCTTAAGACCTACCTGAAGCTCTCAGCCATATGGACTGATTGTTGCCTTGTGTGGCGTGGTGTCAAACTTGCTTTACAATGTTCCGGTAATGTACTTTGGATGTTTCATTATGCATATACTGTAAACTCTTGCTTGCTTTTCTCTGCCAGATCAGTTCATCCTTTTGAAGTTCCTGAGGTCATAAGCATTTTGGTGGATCAAGGCAATCCTTTATACTTGAAATGGATAGAAGAAACCGTGCCTGAAGATTGATTGATTGATTGATTGATTGATTTTTACTCACAGCCTTAAAAACAAACTAGTTAGGCGTGGAAAATTACAGGAGTACGTGGATGGCTTGCCTCTCGGAGAGAAAGTCGATGTGGTCAGCTGATTGGCTATATAGAAGCCCCATCAAATGCTATGGGTAGTTGAACACAGCTCGTTCTGCCCCTGTTATTGAGGACACCCCCACCCACCCAAACAAAAGGTGCCAACAGGTCCCTGACATAAATCCATGAAAGCCAGTATTCTGTCACCAAGTCACCTTTCACTTACACATGCATAGTACATAACACTGACCCAGGTAGCACAGAGCCAGCTTCTAGAGTCAACAGAACCCCTGACCCTCTTGTTCTTATCAATCAGCCAGGGCTCCCTGATTGGGGCTGTAAACCTGGTCCAATCAGGGAACTCATTTTCAATGAATCTATGTGGCTGACCATATTCCAATCACTATATCCTTCCCCCTAACTCCTGGGATGTAGGCCTGTAGGCATGTGCCCAGAGCGTCTCAGCGGAAACTCCTCATCACCAGGTGGTAACAGTGTCAAGGCTGTGATATCTACCACGTGAATCTTGTCCTCAGAGGTTTCGTCAACACAAGGTGGAGGGGGAGAGCCCATGAGTTCTGACAGCCTTCTGGATGTTCAGAGGGGCCAGGTATGTTTTGTTTCTGGCCTGTTTGTGAGGTTGCAGCTTTCATGTAGCTCATGCGCTTGTTCAGGACCACCTCAACTACCCGAACTTTGTATGTCACAGGAACTTGCATCACCCATGCCTCTTACCCATGCAGGCCAATCCCATGATTTTGACATCAAATTTTGCACCCTGAAGTAAACTGCCTGTCTTGCTTAGAGGAGTTCTGTGGATGGCATTGGCATTCCTGATGCCATTTCATTTCCCCCTCCCTGTCCCCGGGTGTAGGAAGATCAGTTTAACCTGATGCGAAGTCTTATCCCCATCAGCAACTCTGGAGCTGTCCTTGTCGTTGCATGACGGGTGATCCTATAATTAAGCAGGAAATGGGACAGTTTGGTATCAAGTGAAGCTGTAGGCTTTCTTTAAGCGTTTGGACTGCTCTTTCCACCAGACTATTGGACGATGGATGGTATGGAACTCTTCTTATTTGAAGTCCGTTTGACTTTAGGAAATAGTCAAGTTCCCTGCTGGTACTCGAACTGCCGAGTAAAGTGGGTAGCGTTTCGGAATTAGAAGCGGCTTGGGATCGTAATACTCCTTAGCTAAAACCTCTTGCAAGACTTTTAGTATCTGGTATCTCGGGGAAAGTTAAGCTTCTAATAACTGAAAAAGCTGTGGATCCACAAGCTGTCAGGAGAATTACTCACTGCTTTTTGTCTGCCCCAATGCCATTTGCCCAGAAAAAGTAATGCATTCTTTCTACGTACTGGGCCCAGTCTTCGACAGCAGGATTGAATGAGTCAAGCTTCCCAAACAGCAGCATGATGCCAGAAATGCTTACCCCAATTCAAAGATGACTGTTGGAAGCAAATCTCTTCGGGGGCATGTTTTTCTCTTGTCGCCACTGAAATAACTCCAGGAAGGCCAGTATCCTGTCACTAAGTTACCCTTTATTTACATGTGCACAGTATGTGGCACTGACCTGGTTACCACAGCCAGCTCCTAGAGAGACCAGAACCCCTGACATTCCTGCTTATATCTGTCAGCCAGGACTCCCCAGTTGGGACTGTTAACCTGGTTCAATCAGGGAACTCCATTCTGTGTGCACCTGGCTTATTCCATTCCAATCACTACATCCCTTCCCCTTAAGTCCTAGGACTTGGACGATGGCTTAACCTCTTGATGTATATAACATGCTACCTCCACCAAAATAGAGTGCAGTGGGGACATGTAATATCAAGTTCTGGAGTTTGGTTTCTATTAGTTGGTTTTTTTTTTCTAAAATGGGTGTGGAAATGAATTCTTAGCTTGTTTTGATATAAAAATATCGTCGTAACAACCCCTAATGGTGAATACAAAGAACAAACAGCACAGGAACAGGCCCTTCGGCCCTCCAGGCCTGTGCTGACATGTTTTGCCCTTCCATACTAGAAACTGTCTTCACTTACAAGGTCTGTATCTCTCTACTCCCTTCCTATTCATGTATTTATCTGGGTGCTTTTTGAATGCTGCTGTTGTGTCTGCGTTCCAGGCACTCATTACCCTTTTGTGTGGAAAAACTTGCCTAGCACACCCCTTTTAAACTCTCTTTCCCCTGTTTTCCTTCAAATTGTTTATGTAGATCATGAACAGCAGAGATCCCAGCACTGATCCCTGTGGAACACTACTAGTCACAACCCTCCATTCCAAAAAGCATCCTCGCATGGTAACCCTCTGTGTCCGATGACTAAGCCAGTTCTGTGTCCATCTTGCCAGCTCACCCCGATACCATGTGACTTCACCTTTTTGTACCAGTCTGTCATGAGGGACCTTGTCAAAGGTTTTACTGAAGTCTATGTAGACATCAATCCCTCATCAATCATCAATCATCCTCATCACATCCTCAAAAAACTCAATCAAATTAGTGAGGCATGATGTCCCCTGCACAAAACCGTGCTGTCTATTGCTAATAAGTCTATTTGCTTCTAAATGCGTATGGATTTTGTCCCTGAGAATCTTTTACAATAATTTCCCTACCACTGACGAGAGACTCGCAGGCCTGTAATTTCCAGGATTATCCCTGTTACCCCTTATTTAACAATGGAACAACACTGGTTATTCTCCAGTCCTCTGCGACCTCACCTATGGCCAAAGAGGAGAAATAGATGTCTGTCAATGCTCCAGCAATTTGTTCTGTTGGCTCCCTCAATATTCTGGGATAGATCCCATCAGGACCTGGGGAGTTATCTACATTAGTACATTGTTCTTCAGGGAAAGGATGTCTTTACACTGTATAATGTTATGAATGACCTTGTCATTTAGCTAAAAGAAACAGAATCTAAAACCTCCTCTTTCACTGATGTGCAAAACATAAACATTGACTTTTCTCTCATTTCCAAAACTTCAATCAAACAGATAAGCTATGCCCTGGCTTTCAAAACTAAGATACTTGCACAACTTAGACACACTGAAATGAAAGAGTGCCTGTAAATGTAGCCAAATTGTCTGTAAACTTTCATTGAATATTGTTTAAAATATTCAAATTCACATTTGTGAGGTGAGAAAAGGTTTGTGAGGCTGTAGAATGGGTAAGACTTTTTTCTGTACTTAGATTTTAAAGTCATGCTGGTGACAGTTATAGTCAGACTTATAAAACAGTGAAATATCTTAATTGGATTGGTAATCTCGTTGAATTTTAATTTTCAATACAAAAATTCTTCTATATTTAATGTTTTTGTTTTAGAAAGGAGGTAACTTGCCAGAAGTTCAGAAATGGATTTTTTTTTTCAAAAGAGCTGTATGCCACAAATGCAACCTAATTAAAACCTTTGTAATTAAAATAAACACTGGAGTATTCTTTTCCTCTCAGCAAGATCATTTTGATTATTCACGAGTTTTAAAAATTAAGTTATCCAGTCTCCTGTGGCCTTGCACATAGCTATTGAGGTGATATTGCAGTACAGGGTTAAGAATTTGTATAACTTTGTGTGATGTTTGTTGTTCTCTAACTGATGTGTGTAACTGGCTTAATGTGTTGATTTAGAATATTTTCTATTGCTTGGGAAGGTTCTATGAAATCACCAGCTTTCTTTTAAAGTGCAACTTGGATTTCTGAAAATGTAACAGGATGAGACACATTAAATGTATGATTGAATGCAGCATCTATAATTGTTAATTTTTTTAAAAATACATTTTGTGTAGCCTGAGACATGGACTGGAAAAAGGGAACATCAATAGGAGCAGGAATAGACCATGTGCTGCTCCCTCCCTCGAGCCTGGTGTGTCATTCAATACAATCATGGCTGATTTTCTACCTCACTTTAACTTTCTCAAACATTCCTCTTATCCTTTTAATTTTAAAAGATTCCTTTTAAAATCTGCCTATTATAAGTTATCAAATGTATTCAACAATAGAGTATCCACAAACCCAGGAGACAATTCCAAAGGTTTACAACATTCAAGTGAAGATGTTTCTCCTTGACTTGACTCTTAAATGTTGACCTACTACTATGAAACTGTACTCCTGTGTTCTAGATTTCTCATCCCCAAGGGAAACAACCTCTGATTCCAGCCTGCCAAGCTCATTCAAAATCCTTATGTATGTTTCAAGATACAGGAATGCAAATCTGTGAGCAGGTAGTGCAGCAGGTGGGCAAAGTGAGGGGTGGGATGGTTGAAGCAGAAAGTAAAAACAGAACCAGATTCCTAATTGCTGGCAATTGAAAGCAGCACATTCTTGGATGGGGAGTGTTATTCCTGGGGCTGAGGTTTGTGAGCAGTCAGATTTCCTACTACCTAATGTAGCAATCTGCACCATTTGCGTCAATTATTTATTACCCATCCCATATCTGAAGATGCTTAAAAAGATACATGGGAGATTTGCCAACATCTTTTTAAAGGCATAGGTTATTCAACCCCAAGGGCCTGTTCCACTGTTCACATACCTCCTAGCAACCAATGTAGAATGGGTATTGGGAAGAGGTCCAGGAATAATTCAGTTGCCAACACGCTCAGCTGGAGAGTGCGTAGTAGAAACAAAAGAGGGAGAAAAGTATAAAAATATATCTGGAACTGTGATAATAAAAGCAAATTGTTTCCTGAAATTACACAGTAAAAGGTAACCGATCAGTCCACTCTAAATCACTGTAAAAATTGAACTTGAAGTGAAATGCTGGTTCTCAAATTGAGACAAAATCAGATAAATCTACTCCATCTTGTTCCTTAATTCTTGTTGATGTAAGCACTAGTATGATATAGAAAACTCTTTCCTTTTAAGCTAATCAAAACATCCTGAGTTTGTCGACGACAGGATCACTCTACCTTCAGTTAACAATTGGAAGCCTTGAGGCATGTGTACTGTTGTGAGAAGGCATGCCAGTAATTAGAGTGTGGTCGATGGTCCAGTGAACGAATCTGGGCTTTTAATTTTAAATAAAACACCACCATCAAATCAGAATCTGGCTTGCTTGAGGATATTGTCTAATCAGCCTATTCGGAGATACCTGGAGCAGGTAAGATAGGAACCTGGACCTTCTGGATTGGAGGTAGGGACATTACCACTATTGCAAGAGACCTGTGCGAATAAAAAATCTGGATTTGTTTTCTTAGATATGTAAAAGTGTTCTTACACAAAACTGAAGATTTTTTTTTTATCTCCTCCCTCTTTCTTCCACCAATCACTGACTTTTTGTTTTTAAACTACTAACTGCCTCCAGTAAATCACCATGTATATGCACAGGCTGTTAAGGGGAATGCAAACCACAAACGTGACAGAGAATGGGAAGGGCCTATGTAAATGGAAAATCTGGGCTTGTTTACACATTCAAACCTTGCACCTATCAAAGCCATTTGTTCTAATTTCTAATGTGAAGGTATTTTCTGATCATTACACACCCCCGGCAGAGGTGAGACTTGAATCTGGGTCTCCTGGCACATAAGAAAGGACGCTACCACTGTACACAAGTGCCTTTAATTTCCAGTTTGGACAATCCCAGAAAGCTGGGATTATTGCCCATTTAGCACATCCAATTGTCTGCAGAGTTGTGTTGAAATTCTGGAGATGGACAGCTCCTTGTTTCCTTTGTTTTATTTTAAGTTCGAACAACAAGCTGATCACCAACCTCTTGCCGTACACAGGCATTTCTGTTTTGTCGTGGAACCAGTATTGACAAACGGTCAAGTTGCTTGTATGAACACACAAAAATCTTTCGAACACTATAACAATTTCATCCTAGTGAACTACTATTCCAATGCCAAACACAGCTTCTCCACTGAACTCCTTTCTGTGATTGGTGGGTCAGCCCAAACAAAAGTAATTTATGTTGAGCTTCCAGCTCAAATGAAGGATTGCTGCCTGCTGAACTACAAGATCCTAATGACAGCTGCTGACATGGTCAAAATGTCAAACCTATTGCCCCCTTTTTTTTAAATGCAGATAATCAGCACAGCACATGCTATTTTTAAGAAATCACCTTTTCCAAAGCTCTTCTGGGGAAAAGTGTTGAAATTGAGAAAGGTGACAACAGCACAGGATAAGAACCCAAAAATTTATTGCCAATTGTTTTGCATAGCTGGATAATACAGAAAAGAATACTGACTGCTTAAGACAAGTACATGTTTCATTACAGGGAAAAGGGTAATTATATACTGTGCTCACTTACAAATGTACAATGTTAAAGTAATACTGTGAAACCTGTAATGGTTATGCAAATCACATTGTGTAGGTAACATTCGTACAATGATTGTCATGTCAGATTTTTCTCATGTTGGAATTGATTTTAATCAAACACTTTGGGAGGCGTAAGAGTACCAACAGCAAGATGGATTACAGTGCTGGAGACTTGGTACAATAACAAGCATTCACCATTTTAAGTTCCCCTTGCAACCTATATTGCTCCCAACAGTCATACTATACTAAAAGGTTATGGGGCCAAATTTGAAAGTCACAGCAATTGCTCAATTCTGGTTATTGTCAGTTTAATCCACAGTGCGATAACTGTTATGCCATAATGGTAAAACAAACTAAAAATGAAAAGTTGATTGTCTGCATGTTAAGCAATCTTGTCAGCAAAGTAAGTTTTACGTGCTGCCTACTCAGCAAAACATTTCGGTGATTATGGTTTCTGAAGTAATATTGCTATTTGCAAATTCATTTTCTTTCCCACAAAGATTATTAAAGCAAAGAGCATGGAAAGGAACTTTGTAAAATAGACTGAACATTTTATAGCCACAGTAATGGAAATTTCTGTGTGTTTTCTAAGCCAGGACTGAGCACTATGCAAGTCACACCATCACTGGAAAGCAGAATTACCCTTAACCTACAGAACCTGTAAAGAGAAAAGCTTTATTTCACCACAGCTGACAGGCATAGAACTTATTGGGTGAATTTCTGTACGTTTGGTGGGTTTCATTTCAAGTTGCAGTGGGATGCGCAAGGTGAAACAAGCAGACCTTACAAAGGAAAGACCAGTAAAACTTGAGAATGGTGTAAACTAGTCCAACTTGTCTTGTATACCTCAAAATTGAGGTCCAGATATCTATTTCCATGAACTATAGTTTTTTTTATACTGGTTTTTCCACGTGGCTCAGATCTCAGTCTTGCACCACTCAGCTTTTGAGTCTGATGGTAACAGTAAAGCGCTATCCACTCAACAAAGCAAACTATGAAAACTGAACGAGGAACATACAAGGGAGGAGAAACTGAATGTTTGTCTTTGTGAAATCAAACTAGAAATTGTGAGAAACAGGTGAAGCCAGATAAACGAGGCACTACTGCTTAAGCATATAATTCCACTGTTTGTTTGCTTTAGATTGCCCTCCTGGGCAGCTGATCTGAAAAGTGGCTGGGTTCATATGTAGAGTGCCTGGGATGCTGAACTGGTTTCAGCCCATCTTTGAGCATATATCTAGCAGCACGTTGTCAGCCCATATCCGAACTGGCACCAATTCTGGATCTGGTTTATCAGACATTTTGGCAGAGTAAGACATTGATCCATAAAATTGACAATTTCTAGGTGCATTATATCCACACAAACAGGCAAAATAAGTTCCAATTTCCTCCTCCTGTGTGCAAGCTCAAAGGTAAAGATTCCTACTGGTCTTCAACAGATAAATATTCCTTTCATGTCCATTACTACTGGGTCATAATACAAAACTGGGGATAGCAAACAGACCAAGTGTCTTCCATCACATCCCACTTATTAAAAGTGAATCAGGGCGTTTAGCTCAATCAGCTGTTTTACTAGCTCCTGTTTCTTTGTCTCCCTCATTTCTACAGAATTTATTGGTAATTTTATAACATCTTTTGTCAATTGGAAAATATAGCCACAAAAAACACCAAGTCTTTGGCTAGCAGGGCTTATTTTTTGGAGTCTAAAATCACAATCAAATTAACCTCCAAACTGCACACATGAAACAGCCACACAGATTATTGTTTTGTTTTGGCCACAGTCAACATTAAGAAGGTGATGTGTCTCCATTGGAGACTTCAGGCAAGATATTTTCAAGAACAGCATTTTTTGATCCACTCAATCAAGTTGCCAATTCTCTTGAAAACTGGATTTGAATGAACAACCACTAATGCCAATTTCAGTCCCACACAGATCAATTCAGAGAAATAACTACATTTCTCACAATTAAAATACATCTGTATTCATTGAGAGGAAATGACAATTCACTGACATTTTTAATCTAGTTAAAATATACCAGTTTGATTTCAAACTTACCTAAAAGAGTTCATAAAACCATTTTAATTTTAAGCTACATGGGACCATAACATCTTTAGCAACAGTTAAACATGACAATATATATTATCATACACTTTGATTATCAATAATAACTAAAATATCCAAGAATTGCATTTGCAACACAGGTTGGTACATTCAAAGACATTAAAGCTCAACTTCTGAGATCAAGCAGAATTTCTGCAGCTTTCAAAGTGCACACCCTTTCTTTCTGCAACTATCTGCAGAAGGGGATTATTGAAGCAGTATCAGATCCCATGATTGCTCTGTTAGTGCATAGATAGTGTGGAGCTGACTCCGGCAGAAGAGGGATGTCCCTAATTTGATCCTTGCTTCTGTGGGGATCTCAGCCAAAGTTGGCTGTGAGACATATTACATTTGGTTTTGGGAGATTCCAGGACTAGTTCAAGGGTCAAAATTAAAGCAAATCCAATCTGATCTTGCTCCTGATCACAATCCTGTGATTCCTGCTAGAAAGTGTACACATCAGCTGAGGTACATGCTGAGATCAATGGCTGGGATATTTGGACTAAGCAGGGGTTCTGCTGTCGGAGACAGAACAGGGGCCCGGTGGGTTGTGGTGGCAGGTTTGGGGTAGGGGTGTGCAATTTACTTCTCTGCTGTTCTATAAAAGGTGGTGCATTTGATAGAGCTGCACCACACACTCTTGATCGTTGACCGGTGATGTGGGAGCAGATTGCCAAGAGGGGAGGGGTAGGCAGATCAGAGGAGCTCAACAGAACTCTGCAGGTGGGTCTGGCCAAGCCACAGTGGAGATCATTAGGGATGACTACCTGCCTCTCCATGTCCAGATATCCATGAGAAAGAAGTGTGCAGTATCCACTCATACGCTTCAAGCTTTCTGTGCACACTGAGCATCACAGGGGCTGGAGTGTATTATCGCCCCCTGGACTGAGAGAGGTTTCCAATCCCAGGAGGACAGCACTTTTTACTTAGCTGTCAACCTGTTCACAGAGGTGGCTTCTGCTGCACCGGTAAAATGCAAACAGAGGCAGCTCCAGGCTGTTAATTCAACTACTTAAGTGGTTCACTGCATTCTGTGCAAGTGAGCTCTCTTTCCCATGGCTGGCAAAGTGGCAATAGAGCAAGAAGTCAGGGGGCACACCGCTAAATGGCCTCTTTTTGCCAGCAATCCTGCCGCTGGATCTGTCCTCAAAGGCTCCGTAAAACTTTGCTCTACTGCAAACTTTGCCCCCTGTGGTTGAAAGAAATTTATAAAATCATGGTCTTTTCCCCAGGGTAGGGGAGTCCAAAACTAGAGGGCATAGGTTTAAGATGAGAGGGGAAAGATAAATAAGTGACCGAAGGGGCAACTTTTTCACGCAGAGGGTGGTGCATGTATGGAATGAACTGCCAGAGGAAGTGGTGGATGCTGATACGATTATAACATTTAAGAGGCATCCGGATGGGGATATAAATAGGAAGATTTAGAGGATATGGGACAAATGCTAGCAAATGGGACTGAATTTATTTAGGATATCTGGTTGGTATGGACGATTTGGACTGAAGGGTCTGTTTCCATGCTGTACATCTCTATGACTCTAACAAACTGCTAAAACTCACCTGGATAAAAGGAAGATCACTGACAGTCCTGTCAGTTCCCCAAACAATGGATTTGTTAAAATGATTCCCCACTCTACCCCAGATTTTTGTTTTAGTCAGAATTACTGTTTTTTAAGCTGAAGTATTCGAAGTACTGTGTCACGACTTCACTTTCTTTTCAGCGTATCAAATGGTGGTGTACAGGACACTTGGTAAAGATGGGAGAATTGGACTTGGCCCCTCAAAGTCTGTCAAAACCCAACACAAAAGTTAAAGTGCCCACCAACATAACCTTTGAAGGAATAAAAGTGAAGTGACAAAATAAATTTCCAACCAAAGCAGGGCAACACAAGAAATAATCTAACACAGTGTGACCTGCACACAGTGTCACAGTCAGCAATTTGGAAGTAAAAAGAAAAAGGTTTGTTTCCTTTTACAATTCCGCTGTTGGCAGAGGATTGTCAAGCCTTTTCTTCAAAAGGGTAAAAACTGCAAGGCATGTGATTTCTACACAAATAAGACAGACCCACAGAGCAAGAGCAGCAGCTTAAATATCTGTCCGTTCACATTCTCTCAAGCATAATTCTATGTATTCTCATTTGAAATTCCAGTCCCAACAGGGAACATATTGGTACCCTGGCATAGGGTACTCTAGAGCAGCAAAACTCAACTAAATATTACATCATCCGCTGAAGCAAGATATTTCAATCTAATAAACAAAGTTTTCTTTTTGCCAAAAATAAAACTTTTAGCAAAGCTGGCTAATAGGAAGATTTAAGCAGTAGAGGCCTGTGAAAAATACAAAAGTCTTTCAAAAGCTACTTGTAGTTTGATCAGTTACATAGCAACTGGCTACATAATGAGCTAGAATAGTTGTAAAGCAGAGCTGTGCACGGAAATCTATTATTAAAAAGGAGTTAAGAGTGCAGTAGGTACAGTGGAGCCTACGTAAAATCAACTTTACGAAGGCTTAATCCCACTTTTCGCAACATTCTCAGTATACAATACAAATTTCCACTCACTGCAACATCAAACGTTGCAGTTTAAGTCTGTAGAATCGAAACATTCACATCTCAACCTGACACTTCAGTCACTTGCAACTGAATTGCCTAATGTCCACTCCAATGCATAAAACCTCCTTTATTTCACAATTTTAAGACTCTGAGGACTGCAAACCAACCCATTAGCCACTGAAATCAACATTAGCAAAACAATCCAAATTGAATATTGGAAGTTAAGAAACGGGAGCAGCAGTAAAATAAACAACTGTCGAGCCTGTTTCGCTGTTTACATCGATCATGACTGAATTTCTATATCGACTCCACTTTCTTGATGTAACAAAGCAGACGGTTTCATTGCTGTTGATTTGAGAGATAGCAAATTATATGCACAGCTCGATAACACTCGTGCATCACTCATTCTTTGCCACTGGATAGCTAGAATGGTCTGGAAATGTTCTTCAACCAGATATTTCCTACATAAAATTTAACTACCAACAGCAGCAGAAAGCCTCATCTGTACCATTCTTAAAAACAATATATTAGTACAGCAGGCACCTAATAAGATCTCAAATCTTCCACTGAATGTTTGTTTCTGGAAACTAAGGTAGCTCTGCTGTAGTTGATTGTAATTTTTTAAAAAAAAAACTTCAGGAGACAGTTTATAGAGGCTTGCTCAGCTCTGGTCTGCTGGTTGCTAAGCAGACTAAATGGAGTTCCCAATGTGATTCAATTCAATAGGGGGTGGCACCTTCCCATTCCAACAGGTACTGCACTTTTCCGTCCAAAGTCACTCTCCGAGCAAGCACCTGGAACTTTTCACCACAAGCCAGCCTTCCTGCAGCACCAAAGTAATTAGTAATCGAGGATTTAAGATGCGAAAGGGAGGTTTCATCATCACTCATACTATCAAAGGTGTGGCCATTAATGTAATTATTATCCATGGGTTGTTCTGTCTGATCCACTCCATTCTCTGGATGGCTGTAGATGCCTTTCTTCTGTTTGTTTCTGTTGGTCAGTGAATACTCTAATGGTGCTTTCCTTTTACGACTCCCCATTGTCTTTCTAAGAGCAAGAAAATAAAATAGAACAAGGAAAGTCACGATAATAAATAACAAAAAGATCACAGATCTGAAACATTACTTCTGTTTTCTCTCCACAGATGCTGCCTAAACTGCTGAGCAGCAACTTTTATTTTTGTTTCAGATTTCTAGCATTTGCGGCTTTTTTGCTTTTACTGCAAGCAGGTTAAGGTACAGTTGTGTAGCTCTTTAGGAATTCTCTCTTCAAACCCAATTGTAGCCGAGCTCTAATGCAATATGCCATTTTTGATTAAAATTATTCTTACTGCCTGTTTTCTATGGGTCAGAACTGTTCTTTTTGTAAGAAGGCACAAAAACAAAGACTCAGTGGCAGACTCATGCACAAGTAAACGATTGTAAAACACAACATTGAACTTACGGAGAGTCACAGGATAAGCTTGTTGAGGCTGAGCCAGATGTACTTGCAGCATCTGTTGAGTCTAGGTCAGAGTAAAAGGTTCCCTCAGAGCGATCACTGAAAGCAAGTAAACAAATGACAGAAGTAAAATCTTGAGAGGGAAGAAACAAACACAATGACAGGGGGTTTTATAATGTCAGGAGATGGTGATGCATCTCAGAGACTAGCCCTAATAGAACTTATACGGATGTTACTGGGAGGTGCTGATCAGAATCTTTCCCAGGACAGGAGAATATCTGAATAGCTGTAATACAATTCAGTACAACACAGGAGCAGGCCTTTTGGCCCACCAAGACTGTACCAATTCCAATCCTTATTTAGACCCGCTACTTCTTGCCCATGAGCTGTTTCTATCTCTCTGTTTGCTTCCCATTCATGGGTCTATCAAGATATGCTTTGGATGTTGCTAATGTGCCTTCTTCCACTACCTCCACTGGCAGTGTGTTCCAGGCACCGACCACGCTGTGTGAAAAATTTTCCACTCGTTTTTCCCCTAAACAATCCCCCTCTCACCCTGAACCTGTGCCTTCTAGTAGTCGACTTTTCCACCCTGGGAAAGAGCTTCTGACTATCCACCCAGTCAATGCTTCTCATAATTTTGGAGACTGCATCAGGTTACCCCTCGGCCCCTGTCTTTCCAGTGAAGACAATCCGAGTTTATCCAACCTCTCGTCATAACTAAAACCTTCCAGACAAGGCAACATCCTGGTAAACCTCCTCTGCACTCTCTCCAAAGCATCCATGTTCTTCTAGTAGTGTGATGACCAGAACTGCACAAATGTGGCCTAACTAAAGTTTTGTACATATCTTGCCAACTTTTATATTCAATGCCCTGGGTGATGAAGGCAAGCCTGCTGTATCCCATTTTGACCACCTTATCCACCTGTTATGGCCAGCTTCTCCTACCTATCAGTTGACTTCAGGGAAACAAGACTGCATGACCAGAAGCATCTTTGGAGCCTGCCCTCAGAAGTTTCATCCTGTTCTGTCACACCATGCGCATGTCTAAAACCTTTTCCAACATACAAGCTGTTAAGTTGGGAACTCACTCACCTTTTCAAACTCTGAATGTCATCTACAGTAAAGTCAAAAATGTTCGCCAAATGGTAGCTGGCACTTTCAGCAGTTGAGAAGTCATTCTACAAATGGAGAAAAGTCAAATTATGAACAACAATTGGAATATTATTTGCAAATTACTACAATTATTACTTATTAAAAGCCTCATTACTTGGAAATGTTTAAATATTTCACGCAATGCATTTCTTTATTGGCAAAATGACGAACACACGCATGTGAAGTCCTACAATTAGCAATGAAAGGAAGAGCCAATTTCTGGTACAATGAGTGAGGGAAGAAATTTAGTTAAGTCAATGGAAGTTCTTTGCAATCTTCTTCAAGTAGTGCTTTGGAATCTTTAAAGTCCACTTCACCTAATAGACAGGGACTCAGTTTAGCATCTCAACCAAAGGATGTAATCTTTCAAATAGATTTCATTGAAATTAAATCGGGGAGAAGGTCATTTGGCGCAAATGGGTAATGTTGGTCTGTAAGCTCCTTCTGACCCATGATTCTCTAACCACCTCTCTACATTGCACTCTCTCAATATATTTTTCTGGTCTTTTCTCCTCATTATGGGGTCAAATCTGGCAATATGAAGTCAGAGGCAGAGGCAACCACCCTATCACCAAGCTAAGCTTAAGTAGGAAAATCCATCAACGCATTCCCTAAAACGAAGGCAGGATACTAAAGAAACAGCAGAGTTTCAGACACTTATGTCTGATCATCAACATCTACTGCTTCCATCATTTAATCATGAGGAGAATATAGGTTGCCCACTATTCACCTTCCCACTCTTGATTTTTGCAAAGGCTAAATTCAAACTATGAAACTAGTTCCAGAAGAACTCCCATTTACTTCTAGAATAAAATCAGTTGTTGCTGCCATCACTGTCATTCCAAAAATAATGTAGTTAACTCTCATAAAAGGGCTTTAATCAATGACACAGATTTTGTTCCCTCCTGAAATTGTTTGAAAATCTTAGGAGGTCTGGCAGCAACTGTGGTGAGAAAGCACAGTCAATGTTTTGGGTCCAGTGACCCTTCTTCAGAGAGTTGTGAAGGAGGAACGCTGGAACCGAAACCTTAATACTGCTTTCTCTCCAAAAATGCTGCCAGATCTGAGTTTTTCCAGCAATTTCTGATTTTGTTTCTGATTTACAGAATCCATAGTTCTTTGGTTTCTCAGTTACTTTCAGTGCTATATTGGAAATGGGCTCCCATGGCTTCTGGAACTAGTTTACTGTGTATCCTCAATACAAGCCCCGGTAACAGACAGGAAAAGGATTGGTCAAAATTTGAAAACCAAGTTGCACGATGCCAACACACAGCCAATTCTTTGGGGGTGAATATTGGGTATCAAACTATCCCACCATGGAAAGGCAACAGATTCATTAATATTTTTAAATTCGGTTGTACTTTGCAATTAGAAGCAAATGTGAAATTGACACATGCTGTTCGGGTTTTCTGGGAGTCAGGAAATTTGGCAGTGAAACAAAGCAGGGACCTACCATCTTCCCAAGGTAAAAGGGGCTTTTTTAACACTCGGTTAAGGACAGGAGAAGCAGGAGTGTCCCCACTCAGGTACTCGGTCTTCCCCAGTCTGGATTTCCAGCCTCACGCTCCCTTCCTCCTGATCACTGGCTGCATCCCATCTCCAGGATGCCCATCGAGCTGGAAACTGAGTGGAAGAAGGACTGACCGGATGCAAGTGGGGGACTTTGAGCCCCCGGTTTTTGTCAAAGTTCTTTTGGCCTTGCTGACTCCCTTTCTGTAAATACTGAGGCCACTGTGTTCTCTCCTTTAAGTTTCTCAACAGGGCGCTTAAGTCTGGAAGGAGCCGAGGGTTAACTCAGGCTACAGCACAGAGAAGTGAAATTAACCATCAGCTGATTGCAGATCACAGACTAATTTATGGCAGCCACTCTTTTGCACTAAAGCCCAGGGTGATTTGTGGTGTCTGCATGCCAGCAATGTACAACAATATCCTTTTGCAAATAAATTTAGGGAAGTCACTTTCTGCAGGAGCACAGGCAATAAGATTTGTCAAAATGCTGAAAGAATTAAAACCACACAGTCCAGTACAAAGGATGACCCATCTGGCCCTTTGAGTCTGTGTTTGCTTTACTTGTTCAGGTGATCTGAGCATCACTGTCAAGGACAATATTTATTGTTCACCCCAATTGCCCTTGACAAGATGGTGGCAAGCTACTTGAAATGCTACAGGCCATACAGTGTAGGTATGCTCAGAGTACCATTGGGGACAGAGTTCCAGAATTTTGACCCTCTGACAGTGCAGATATATTTCCAAGTCAGAACAGCACGTGGCTTGGATGGGAACTTGGAGATGGTGGTGTCCCCATGCAGCTGCCACTCTCGTTTTTCTAGATGATAACAATCACAGGTCACCCAGAGAATGGTGAACCTGTGGAATTTGCTACCACAGAGACCAGTTAAGGCCAAAACACTATATGATTTCAAGAAGGACTTAGATATAGCACTTGGGGTTAAAGGGATCAAAAGACATGGGGGAAAGCAGGAAGAGGCTATTGAGTTGAATGATCAGCCATGATCATAATGAATGGTGGAGCAGGCTCATAGGGCTGAATGGCCTACTCCTGCTCCTATTTTCAATGTTTGGAAGGTGTTGTCAAAGGGGCGTTGGTGAGTCTTTTTTTGCAAAGAACAAAGAACAAAGAAAATTACAGCACAGGAACAGGCCCTTTGGCCCTCCAAGCCTGCGCCAATCCAAATCCTCTATCTAAACCTGTCGCCTATTTTCCAAGGATCGGTATCCCTCTACTCCCTGCCCATTCATGTATCTGTCTAGATACATCTTAAATTACGCTATCGTGCCCCCCTCTACCACCTCCACTGGCAACCCGTTCCAGGCACCCACCACCCTCTGCGTAAAGAACTTTCCGCGCATATCTCCCTTAAACTTTTCCCCTCTCACCTTGAAATCGTGACCTCTAGTAATTGAGTCCCCCAGTCGGGGAAAAAGCTTCTTGCTATCCACCCTGTCTATACCTCTCATGATTTTGTAGACCTCAATCAGGTCCCCCCTCAACCTCCGTCTTTCTAATGTAAATAATCCTAATCTACTCAACCTCTCTTCATAGCTAGCGCCCTCCATACCAGGCAACATCCTGGTGAACCTCCTCTGCACCCTCTCCAAAGCATCCACATCCTTTTGGTAATGTGGCGACCAGAACTGTACGCAGTATTCCAAATGTGGTCGAACCAAAGTCCTATACAACTGTAACACGGCCTGCCAACTCTTGTACTCAATACCCCATGCGAAGAATGAAAGCATGCCATATGCCTTCTTGACCACTCTATCGACCTGCGTTGCCATGTTCAGGGTACAATGGACCTGAACACCCAGATCTCTCTGTGCATCAATTTTCCCCAGGGCTTTTCCATTTACCACATAGTTTGCTCTTGAATTGGATCTTCCAAAATGCATCACCTCGCATTTGCCTGGATTGAACTCCATCTGCCATTTCTCCGCCCAACTCTCCATTCTCCGACAGTCCCCTTCACTATCTGCTACTCCACCAATCTTAGTGTCATCTGCAAACTTGCTAATCAGACCATCTATACCTTCCTCCAGATCATTTATGTATATCACAAACAACAGTGGTCCCAACACAGATCCCTGTGGAACACCACTGGTCACAGTTCTCCATTTTGAGAAACTCCCTTACATTACAACTCTCTGTCTCCTGTTGCCCAGCCAGTTCTCTATCCATCTAGCTAGTACACCCTGGACCCCATGCGACTTCACTTTCTCCATCAGCCTACCATGGGGAACCTTATCAAACGCCTTACTGAAGACCATGTATATGACATCTACAGCTCTTCCTTCATCTATCAACTTTGTCACTTCCTCAAAGAATTCCATCAAGTTGGTAAGACATGACCTTCCCTGCACAAAACCATGCTGCCTATCACTAATAAGCCCATTTTCTTCCAAATATAAATAGATCCTATCCCTCAGTATCTTCTCCAGCAGCTTCCCCACCACTGACGGTCTATAATTACCTGGATTATCCTTGCTACCCTTCTTAAACAATGGGACAACATTAGCAATTCTCCAGTCCTCCGGGGCCTCACCTGTGCTCAAGGATGCTGCAAAGATATCTGTTAAGGCCCCAGCTATTTCCTCTCTCGCTTCCCTCAGTAACCTGGGATAGATCCCATCCGGACCTGGGGACTTGTCCACCCTTATGCCTTTTAGAATACCCAACACTTCCCCCCTCCTTATGCGGACTTGACCTAGAGTAATCAAACATCTATCCCTAACCTCAACATCCGTCATGTCCCTCTCCTCAGTGAATACTGACGCAAAGTACTCATTAAGAATCTCACTCATTTTCTCTGACTCCTCGCATAACTTCCCTCCTTTGTCCTTGAGTGGGCCAACCCTTTCTCTAGTCGCCCTCTTGCTCCTTATGTATGAATAAAAGGCTTTGGGATTTTCCTTAACCCTGTTTGCTAAAGATATTTCATGACCCCTTTTAGCCCTCTTAATTCCTCGTTTCAGATTGGTCCTAATTTCCCAATATTCTTCCAAAGCTTCGTCTGTTTTCAGTCACCCAGACCTTATGTATGCTTCCTTTTTCCTCTTTGCTAGTCTTATAATTTCACCTGTCATCCATGGTTCCCTAATCTTGCCCTTTCTATCCCTCATTTTCACAGGGATGTGTCTGTCCTGCACTCTAATCAACCTCTCTTTAAAAGCCTCCCACATATCAAATGTGGATTTACCTTCAAACAGCTGCTCCCAATCCACATTCCCCAGCTCCTGTCGAATCTTGCTATAGTTGGCCTTCCCCCAATTCAGCACTCTTCCTTTAGGACCACTCTTGTCTTTGTCCATCAGTATTCTAAAACTTATGGAATTGTGATCACTATTCCCAAAGTAATCCCCTACTGAAACTTCAACCATCTGGCCGGGCTCATTCCCCAACACCAGGTCCAGTATGGCCCCTTCCTGGACTATTTATATACTGTTCTAGAAAACCCTCCTGGATACTCCTTACAAATTCTGCTCCATCTAAACCCCTAACACTAAGTGAATCCCAGTCAATGTTGGAAAATTAAAATCTCCCATCACCACCACCCTGTTGTTCCTACATTTTTCCATAATCTGTCTACATATTTGTGCCTCTATCTCATGCTCGCTGTTGGGAGGCCTGTAGTACAGCCCCAACATTGTTACCGCACCCTTCCTATTTCTGAGCTCTGCCCATATTGCCTCACTGCTCGAATTCTCCATAGTGCTTCAGCATAGCTGTGATATCCTCTTTGACCAGTAATGCAACTCCTCCACCCCTTTTACCTCCCTCTCCATCCCGCCTGAAGCATCTATATCCTGGGATATTTAGTTGCCAATCTTGCCCTTCCCTCAACCAAGTTTCAGTAATAGCAATAACATCATGCTCCCAGGTACTAATCCAAAGACCAAACCCTGCTCCTTCCCCAGAGCTCTGAATATTTTCACTCTTCAACAATATCTGGTTCCCTTTCAGACAATAAATTCTCAAGCTTTTCTGTTAAAAATAAAGTCTACACCATCTGTTGGCTAAGTTAACCTCCAATCAAACTGCTTTCTCCATGTATACTCTAGCAAATCCCTACATAATTATAAACACATCCATCAAGTCGCCCCACAGCCTTTCGTGCTCCGAGGACAGCAATCTCAGTTTCTCTTGACATATCTGAATTCTACACTCCTGGTAAATGTCTAGTATATCTTATCTGCACCCTCACCAAGGGATTGACATTAACCTTGAGAAAACCAAAATAAAAATCGTTTAAAGACTCCAGGTTGTTTGTGTTACCAACATTTCCACACTGCATCCATGGTTTTGCAGCAGAATAAACTTGATTTACTGGTTATAATTATTGGCTTTCATACAGAGGAGTTTTTCAATTCCCAGCTGAAGCAAGTGGGAGTGTAACTAACCTCTGGAACAGCATCCTGCAGAAACCAGTTTGACTTCCTGCACTTCATGCCCCACTTCAACGGGAGCCTCCGCCTGCGAGGTTGAGGCACTTCTGGTAGGGGACTATAATACAACAAACAAGACTGGGTCAAAGGAAAGATTAGATGCAACCATCTTAATCTCAGGTATAGATACAGACTGGCTATAATAAACAAGGTCAATCTCAACAGTTATTATATTCTCATGACTAAAGACACTGAGGGTTTACTCCAATCACTACTTTTCAATTATCTAACATATTTATTCGATTGACAAGACATGTAGCTACAATGCAGTCAGTCTGTAAATGTGCTTTGTACTCACCCATACTTAGGTGCAAAGACCAACATATTCTTTCCTCTTCTCTTGATCTCGTTAGAAGCACTATCAGTCAACTGACCAATATTCTCTGGTAAAATAATATTCGGAGGAACTGGAGGTACTCGAGTACGGAGACGAAAAATACATTTTTTCTTTTTAATTTCTTTACCACAAATAAACCTTTAACACAAAAAAGGTGAGTACATTAAAGCTCTCTAATCAACATCATCTGAGATTCCCTTTGGTTTGGAGTCCAATGCACATCCCAACATTACATACTTTCAACTTTAAGCCACTGAGTGTTGGTGGAAAGTTATATCATTGTAAAAATTGTGGTGTTTCTCATGTGAATAGAACTCATGAAATTCTTTGCAAGACAGTAATCCAGATGTTAAATAGTGAACATACAATAGAACAAAAACTCAGTGCTTGAATACAATCAATGTGAAGTTTCTTGTTAAGTCATTCATCTTTCTTCCTCTTGCTATGCCACAATTCTACCCCTGATTGTGAATGCAGTCTGCATGCTTGTCCTTAGACTGCTGACAATGTCTCCCTATTTATTTCCACAATAGAAACACAGATGTTGAACCGATAGACTTCGAGCTATGGACTGACACCTTCCCATCGGAGCAAGAACAGTCACCAACTCACTAAGCGTAGGCACGAAGCTAATTAAGATGCAATACTGTACCACTAAGTGCCTTCCACTGAGGATGAACTCAATTTTATAACATGCGCAAGTTCAGAAGCTGTAAATGGGTTTTGGATGAAGCCACACAAGGTGAACATATCTCCCTTCTCACACCAGATATTAATTGCAAAATTGACCTCTGGCAATTTGAACTCTAAACTGTCAGTGAAGGAGGCTTCTCGGTGAAACATCTACTTCATTTTTAAATAGCATGTTGTTTGATTTTTTTTACTGCCCATGAAGGGGAGGCAAGTGTTTCAAGATTAACCAGGGATTAGCAATAGCCTTAAATAACAACAAACTTAGCAGGTCTGGCAGCATCTGTGGAGAGGGAGAGTGAATTAACAGTTCAAGTCTGATATGATTGTTCTTCATAACTGAAGCACTTGAAGTGAAGAACCCGATTCTGAACAGTCATACTAGACTAGAAACGTATACTCTGTCGCTGTTTCCACAGATGCTGCTAGACCTGCTGAGCTTCTCCAGGAGTTTTTTTATATTTCAGATTTCCAGCATATGCAATACTGGGACCAGCCTTGCCAAAAACTCCCACATCCCGAGGTTGAATATTAAAAAAACACGAGGATAGGTTTAGTGATCGTGAGTCAGAGTGAAGGTCTTGGTTGTCATTTTCTCATTTTAAAGTTATGCATTATAAATCATTCATGTAACATGGAGGTATGTTCTAGAATTTAATTTGTTCCTTCAAATTCATATCCTCACATCAGTCACTGAGGTAAAATATAATAAAATTCCTCACAGGCTTTGATTCAGAATTATTTTTAAACTTATTTTCTCCACCCTCTGGTAAATTTAGTTGTACTACAACAATGCATTCTGAATATGAGAGAGAAGCATTAACTAATTGTTGCACATTAGGTCAGTGTTAACTAATTATTTCTCTAATCAAATATTCTAGTGTTTATGTGATTAATTGAATATTCAAAGTTGACCCACCAAGGAGAAGTGTGATTTACAGATAGTAGGAACTGCAGATGCTGGAGAATCCGAGACAACAAGGTGCAGGGCTGGATGAACACAACAGGCCAAGCAGCGTCATAGGAGCAGAGAGGCTGACGTTTCGGGCCTAGACCCTTCATCAGAAAAGGGGGAGGGGAAGGGGGTTCTGAAATAAATAGGGAGAGAGTGGGAGGCGGATAGAAGATGGATAGAGGAGAGGATAGGTGGAGAGGAAACAAACAGGTCGAAGAGGCGGGGATGGGGCCAGTAAAGGTGAGTGATTTATATTTATTTTGTATGATCATGATTAAAAGCAGAATTACAGAATTGTTATGGCACAGGAGGAGGCCATTCAGCCCATTGTGCCTGCACCAGCTCTTCAAATGAATATCATTACCTAATACCAATTCCCCTGCTTTTCCCCATATCTTTGCACACTATTTCTATCCAAATAATCATCCAATGCCTCAAATAGAAGAAATATAACATTACAAACAGCCATGGCAGAAGTCTTAACTTTCCATCATGACAAGATGCATTAGCAGCCCTGCGATAGACTGCTTATGCCATTGTGAAACAGTACAATGTAGGGAACTGGTTGCATTCAATTAAGCAAGTTCAGTTCAACTGACCCTTTCTCAACACTAGGGTGCATTTAAATATTTTACTACTTTGGTTTCCATTTTTTACAACCCTCTGTCAGTGCTTCCCAAACTGTTGTCTGATGTGACCCATTTTAACACTTGAAAATTACTGTGATCTCAGATGCCAGCAAAAACAAAGCACCATACGAACATTCAATTCAGAATTATTAAAGTTTACACAAAATAATACATCACATAAACACAAAATCTGTTTTAAAGTACATTATGAAATGTCATTGTTTTACATACTTGTGTGGGTCTCAGCTAAGTTCTCCATTTTTTCCAGTGGCACAGTGAATTCTGGCTCCCCCCAGTCCACACCAAAACAGCAATCAGCTACTTTTGCATCACTGCACCCCATCCAGGCCCATACCAAAAGTTACCAGGCTGGGACACAAGACTCAGAATCTTAAGGAACATACACCAAAGCATGTGCAAACTATTTCACAGGTTTGAATTTTTTATTGCAAAAATATACTTTATTCATAAAAAAACCTTTATAAGAAAACCTTTATGTACATACTAAAAGTACATACGTACTAAAGCACAGTATAGTCTTTGCATAGAAGAGAGAAAACAAACACTGGAATTTGACATTCTCGCATTTTCAAAACCCAAAAGGCATTCCTACTCATGCAAGACCCTATTTACATACATTTTGAGGCAAAGAGAGGGTCTGAGAACTGAATGGACTCTTATTACACTTTGGCAGAAAGACCTTAGACAGTGGTCTTCCCTATTGCGTCTTGGCAGCAGCTACCCAGGCTATAGTGTGTCCCTTAACATCTAGTCTTGGACGCTGGAATGTGCCAGTTCTGCAACACTCGATTGAGGTCAAATCTTTACACTGGAAGACCAACAAGTTTTGAGCAGACCAAACAGAGTCTTTCATCAAGTTGATGGCCCTCCAGGATGTTGATGGTTCTCTTGGTGTATGTCCTGGGGAACAGACCATAGAGCTCAAGTCCTGTGTCATGGTGCTATTCGGGATGAACCTCGACAAAAATCACTGCATCTCTCGAGACCTTCTTCACAAAGGCACATTCTGCTAAATGACTTTGACAGTCTGCTCAGGGAACCACACGACAGGACTAACCCCTTTCATTTCCCGCAGGGTCTCAAGGGCACTACATGCTGACCACTTCCTGATGGACTTGTGGTCAAAGCTTTTCTTTGCAAATTTTTCCATGAGGGACAGGTGATATGGAACAGTCTAACTACAGCGCTCCACGGCACTGAGGCCAGACCCATGCATCACAACATTGGGGACAGGCAGAATTTCAGTATGCAGCCACACACAAAGGTGACCAGTGTGAGGGCAATGTTGGGTTTATTCCTCCCTCTCCTTTGTTCAGAGTTTTGTACCTGGTGTCCCTGCAGACGCAGTCTGTCTTTGACCTCCAGGTGAAGTAGAAAATGGCTCATGTGACTGCTAAGGCGCAAGTTTGGGGAATGGGCCAGACTTGTTCTTCATGCAGTAATACCTACATATACATGTTTGAATGTCTCATGTCTCTGAATGGTCTGTTCTACAATCTATTCACATGAAGAAAATAATGCCAGAGGATAGTAGAGCTACAGCACCATTTAGTGGTTGCAGCAAGCAAACACTGTGTCAGAGGACCTGTTTATGTTCGAGAATTCCATATTAACTTCCAATGCTACAAAACGTCAAATGGACATTCACAGATTGGTGGTATATGCAGACAAGCGGCAGATGAAATTTAATGTAAATAAGTGTGAAGTGATTCATTTTGATACGAAGAATGAGAAGATCCTAATATATAAAGAGTACAATTTTAAAAGGGATTCAGTAGCAGAGGAACCAGGGGTATAAGTGCACAAATCAATGAAAGTGACAGAAAAGTTTGAGAAAGCAGTTAACAAAGTATACGGGATTCTGAACATTATAAATAAGGGCACGGAGTACAGAGCAAGGTGGCTATGATAATTCTGTATAAAACACTCGTTCAACTTCAACTGCAATACTGTGCCCAGTACTCTAGGAAAGAATTAGTGAGCATTAGGGAAGTGCAAAAAAATTTTACAGGAGTGGTTCCAGGTATGGAGACCTTCAGTTAAGGAGAACAGAAGTTTAGAAAGGAGATTTTAATATAGGTGTTCAAAATCATAAAGAATATGACCAAATTAGATATGCAGAAAGATTACAGAATCAGAGGACACTAACTTAAGGTGACTGGCAGAAGAAGAAATATCAAAATGAGGGAAACCTTTTTACGCAGTGTATGGATCTGGAATGTGCTGCCTCAGGATGTGCTGGAGAATTGAATAATCATCCAGAGAAAAATATAGCAGGGCTATGGGTGAAGAGTGTGGAAGTGTGACAAATAAGTCACTCCTGCACAAAGCTATCACAGACACAATGGGCTGAATTATACATTTATAATTTGGTCTCATTATACATCGTAACCATTATACGAATATATGTTTTTTGTATCAACATAACATCATGAAAAATTGTGAGAGCAGGTAGTGAAACAGAAACTGCATAGTTCTCAATAAAATATGTTAGTATAGATCTTCATGTTGTAAGCTAATGTCCTTCAGGAAAAGCAAAAGATATTTTTAACAATTACACATACTGCAGTTGGAGTGGGAGCAGGATTCATGCTTAGGACCCAAGGATGAGATATTTTTTAAACACCTTGTTCAGAGTTGTTATTAAACACCTCTGGAGCAGGTAGGACTTAAACTCGGGCTTTCTGGCTCAGAGAATGGGACACTACTACTGTACCACAAGAACCATCCAGATAAGATTGACAGTTAGTGGTTTAATGAACTGCATGTGTTTTTTTCATGATTAAGTCTCTCTTTAATTGAATTAATGAAATAAAGATGTGCCTTTGGCAATTGTGTTAAATGTTACACATAAAGCACAGATAAAGTCTTACCGGCTTTTGTAGCTGTTTAAAGCATTGAGGAGATGCTGCTTTCGTTCGAGCACTGTGGTTTCTGTCAGCTGAAGAGAAATAAGTGTTTATTCAGTACTGAAGCAGTGCAATATTTCAGCAATATCTACTGAGAGTTTAATCTGTAAATGGAATTTAATTGATTTTTTTTAAAAAATGCTGCAGAACTACCATAGAAATGTTTTTGTCCAAACTTGACAACAGAATTATTAACCACTTTGTTTTTTGTCTCAACAGCTTCCTCACTAACTCATGCGAGATGAATATATCACTGTCACCCAGCATGCTGGGTACATGAGCTAACCAAGAGCTGGAAAACTCAATTCAATACTGATGATTAAGATTAAATTTCATTCTAGGCTGGAATATAGACCGAAGGGTTCCAAAACAAAAAAGTATTGTTATCATCTAGTAGGATCTGTCAGGAATAGCTGAGACCAAATGGAACTAGGAAACAGGTGATGGTTATATATTAACTTTAGGACAATTGGGTGATAGCTGGTATATACACATAACATAAGTCTTTTTTAACCATGGGGAAACAAGTTATCAGTTGGGAGTTCGTGGTGTATGAACTAGAAATAAAATTGATGAGATAAGTATATGACTAGATTCTGTCTACCCACAAAAACATAGAAAATAGGAGGATAAGTAACTTATTCAGCCCTTTGAGCTTGCTCCACTATTCATTATGATCATAGTTAATCATCCATATCAACAGCCTGTTCCTGCTTTTCCCCAATATCCTGTTAGCACCAAGTGCTATATCTAACTCCTTGAAGTCATACAATGTTTTGGCCTTGACTGCTTTCTATGTAGCAAATTCCACAGGCACACCAATCTCTGGGCGAAGAAATTTCTCCTCAACTCAGTCCTAAATGGTTCACACCACATCCTTCCACTATCACTCCTGGTTTTGGGGACTGCCCTATCATTGGAAACAATTCTTCTTGTATCTACCCTAGTCTTGTTAGAATTTTATAGGTTTCCATGAAATCGCCCCTCGTTCCTCTGAACTCCAGTGAATACAATCGTAACTGATTCAACCTTACCTCATATGTCAGTCCTGCTATTCCAGGAATTGCTCTGGTAAACCTATAGCAAGAACATCCTTCCTCAGATAAGGAGACCAAAACCACACACAAAATATTCCAGGTGTGGTCTCACCGAGCCCCTGGATAAGTGCAGCAAGACAGTCCTGCTCCTGTACTCAAATCCTCTCACAATGAAAGCCAACATACCATTTGTTTCCTTGACCCCCTGCAGCATCTGCACGTTTACCTTCAGCAGCCGGTGTACAAGGACATCCAGGTCTTGTTGTACATTCCCCTCTTCTCAATTTACAGCCATTCAGATAATAATCTTCCTGTTTTCACTCCCAACGCGGACAACCTCATATTTATTCACATTATACTGTATCTGCCATGTGTTTTCCACTCACTCAATTTATCCAAATCACATTGAAGCATCTCTGCATCCTCCTCATAGTTCACCCTCCCACCTAGCCTTTGTGTCTGTATTTTAACCTCTGGAATTTAACACATTCAGCCTGGATTTCACCCTCCTTCCCTCATAGTCATTCCCTTTGCACTTGGGAGTCACCTTTGCTGCCATTCACTGCATCTTCCGATGCATTCTGTTCGCAACATGGTCATCAGAACTGAACCCATTACTTCACCTGTAGCATTGTAACCAAAGGCACTGCAAAACCTATTCCATTTCTCTGACCATTCATATCAACATTAGGTTTGTTTTCATTAACTGCTTTGGAACCTGGTTTTAATTTCATTATTCACAACTCCCTTCACAAAACTCACTGTACAGTATTAATTACTATACAGTTGTACAACTTCTGCACCTGGCAATTCAAAGTGACTTTTTCTGTGCCAAATAATTCAAGTTATCCTCTGTTTAAATGGTAGATTTTAAATACCACAGCAAAATGGGAATCAGTGGCCAAATGGAATAATAAGATAACTCAAATCAGGTTGAATGTATTTCTATTGCAGATTTTTCACCAAGTATGAAATACTTTGTTATTCTTCAATTTATTTTTCACTTGTCTCTCCAATTACTTAAATTTGAAGTATCACTGGGCGAATGTTTTAATTCTTCCAAAACCCAACCACTTAGGAAGAACTTAAATCAAGCCTTTTGTTTCTATTGTACTCTTATAGCAGGATGGCTGGTTTGCAATGCAGTGACATCAACAATATGGGTTCAATTCTTGCACCAGCTGAGGTTATCGTGAAGGACTCTCTTTCTCAACCTCTCCCTCAGCTGAGTTGTGGTAAACCTCAGGCTAAACCACCACCAATTGTCTCTCTCTAATGAGACAGTAGCCCTATAGTCTGGTGGGACTATGGCAACTTTACCTTTTACCCCTTATTTAATTTCAAGTTCAAAAATTGGCAATCTTAGAATTGATTTCAGTATCCAAGACATTTGTGTGGAGTATCCAGTTTTAGTGCTTCATCTTTATGCACCAAGTTTTGTAGTTTAAATGAATTAGGAGTGTTTTATCACCACAATTCTCACACTCTCCCAGTCCAGGGAGAACAGAATTAAAGCTTAGGGACTACATGCTTAGCTGATGTTTTTTTTTGGACTCCACATGTCCCAGCCTGATTCCCACCCACAGTTAAAACCAGGGCAAAATCCAGGAGATAACTAGTCAAGCTGTTCCACTTGGAGGGTTCTATACAAAGCAATAGGTTAATTGACAGACTGAAAACATCTTAAGAAAACTAATTTGAGGGTTCACAAAGCAATTAAACACTTGTAACTTTAACATTAAGAACTGCATTAATGTTCTCAATGTCTTTTCCACAGTTACTGAAACCAAGCCATAACCCCTGATCGTATTTAGAAAGTCCTGGCAATTATGATTGTTTCTGCAGAGTCTGAATTTTACATTGAACCTCACATCCTTTTGAATATTTGTTCTTCTGATTTCACATTTTCATTCTAAGGGCTAAGAGCCTGAAATGAGTTGGTTTCAAATGACAGTAACTAGCAGTGAGGTCCACTACTTAACACTTATCAAACAGGCTTCAAATCAAAGATTATTTCAAGTATTTCTCCAACTATTGCTCGAGACAAGCCAGTTTTAATGTTATAAAAATTCTTTGATGTAGAATATTATTTGTACTTCTGTCAGAGCAGGCAAGTGTTGCACTATACAACAGCTCAACAGTAACATGCAGACCCACCTTTCCAAGCTGGAGGCTCAACCAGTTTTGATTAATAAATATTAATATTTCCTCTTCAAAATCAAAGTATTTCTTTTTTCCACGGACCCCTAAATTGTATAAAACAAGGTGCACGACATCTACCCTAAAAACAAAAGGACAAGATTTTAAAAAAATAACTAAGTGCTTCCAAATATTCAAATCATTTACTGACAGTGCAGTTATCAGAAGTATGGAAATGGGGCATTTGGAGCTTGTGTGTGTGGCATCTAGATTTACCGCACTTTCATTTGTCTCTGCAAAAGGAGGGAGAGAATGGGGTGTCTGGTGTGTCTCTTTGTCCATTTTAATGCTCTCAGCCATCACCAGGATACCATTTGCAACAACGAGAACCTAAAAGCTGCACAGAGATGGACTGGGCCTGAAAAATTCAAACTTGCATTCCAAATACTGTTGACCACAAAATATTGCAACATCTTGCAGTAAATGATAATATGTTTGTGTAAATATACACCTGCAGTACATTTATCCATATTATGTATGCAACACATGGCTAAAATGTGGTTTCCATGGCCACATCTGTGGGTGGTCAAGAATTTCTACTGGACAACACCTCCATGGAATATTGGGGCTTATACATCGATCATAATGAAAATCATAACCATCAGCAAAGTTCAAAACTTAAACATAGGCAACATATTTTTGAAACAGCTTTTAACAACAACTAAAGTCATAATTTTGATAGGACACAGCGTTGCTATAACTCACGCAGCTTTGAGAAAAAATTGGTGTAGAACGTGATAAGCATCAATCAGATTTCATTACACTGAAATATCTCTGTGGCCCATCAGTGCCCATCTTAGGGGAAGGGGAAACTACAAAGGTAGCTTTAAAAATATTAATGATGTCTTTATAATAATTCCACTGCTTAACGGTGATTCTTATTTTATGGAACTACCTTCTTTCTTGGGAAAATACAGAACTATGGTAGCTGCGGAAACCGCATCCTTACCTATCTGTCAGCAAGCCTGCCCTGATCTTCTCAGAATCAAAACATTCCTATTTTTGTTCAATGTTTTCCATTATCCTTGAATGTATTGTCTCATTTTATTAGTAATTTTGCATTGTGGTTCACTGTGAATGATTACCTCCACCTCTGCCTCGTCTTCACGAGGAATCTGGTTTTTACCAGAGTGAACTTGCTGTGGTCAGATTGAGTTAAGGGACTTGTTCATAACTTGCTAAAAGGCAGCTCTTTTTCTCCCTGCGAAATGACATGGCATCACAGGAATAACTACATATGCAGATGGATCATGACAGCCATTTTTAACAGAGGCACCCATCACCTACATTGGGAACACGCACTCCGTTTTTATAAATAACCTCCATTTTAGAGAAGATTTTCACCTGCTCCTCAGTTTTATTTTTGATGAGTGAATTTTTATGTTAATTAAACAATTTGCTCCTCCCCTCTACCCCCTCCACTTCTGGGAATGTCTGGCATAATTTAAAATGCTAGATCAGAGTACTTTTTTTATCTTGAATTGATATTGTGAGCCAGCCTAAGCACAGAACTTTCAAAATCCATTAGTGCAAATTTACACTCCTCACATCTGAACGTCATTCCTGCTCTGCACGAGACTGCTTGTTTACTGTCAATTGGTGCCGAGTGTGGTTTCATTGTCAAGCTATGCCTACTTGAAACTGAGCTAGGTTTCGCAAATTTAACTGATACAAGATCAGCAGGAAAAAAAGGCGTTTATCCCAACTAACTTCAAACACGAGTAAAAGATGACATGCTAACTCATTGTAGAAATCAATTCACCATTTAACGATCTTTCTAACAATACTCCATACTGAAAGCCAAACATATTTTTATACAGTCATACAATATTAATAAAAGCTAATTAAACAGGGAACATTAACAAAGACAATGAACATGGTTTTCCTTTGGTTGAACTTCTGATCATACCATTAATTCATTGGGTACAACTACAGCATGCAAATTGTCCCCATTACTTCTGCTTTATGTAAATGGATAATTCACACATAGCATTGTTACAGCCTTTAGCACCATTAATCTCAATCTTGATCTATGATTATGTCTATTTTTGTGCTCTTTGGGGATTATCTTTCATATATGACTGGGTCCTCAAACATGTACTATGCTGTGCTCACTCCATATAGCGAGAAACACCAAGAGACAAATGAGCAACAATGTTAAGACGCAACAAATGGAACTTGCCTTGTGTATTGTGAATCAATCTTTACATAATTCTTTCAAAATACCTTTGCATTACTTGCTGGGTTCAGTTAGCTCAGTTGGCTGGATAGCTGGTCTATGATTACATACTAACACCAACATTGTGGGTTCAATTCCCATACCGGCTGAGAATATCATGAAGGACTTTCCTTATCAATCTCTCCCATCAATGGGGGTGTGGTACCCTCATGTTAAGCCACAATCAGTAGTCTCATTCTAATGAGAGAACAAGGCTATGGTGACTTCACTTTTCTATTACTTACCATCTCAGGGGCAGGCGTTTTATATATTCGGGTCCTTTATTGCACACTGAGCAGACAAATAAATAAAATCTGAAAACAGGAGAACAGAAAATGCAGTCGTTTTAATAAGATACATTGCACCTTAGGCCTATCCATGAAGTTTTCACAACATACAAAACAAAAAAACGATCCGGAACAAAACAATGCTGCCAGACCTGCTGAGCTTTTCCAGCAACTTCTGTCTTTGTTCCTGATTTACAGCCTCCGCAGTTCTTTTGATTTTCAAATAAATGATCTGAACAGGTTGGCCTTGGTGCACCCTATTTATGAAGTTGCCGATAAATCAAATCTTAGCACACGTGGAACTGTAGGAATCCTGATGTGCTTATTTAACTATGAAGGTGGTTTTGCAGCAGGCAATCGTACAGTACTCTATGGCTGATTTCTTAACTATGTCGTCAAGGAAATTAAGTTAATTTGACTGAAGAATTTCTGAAGAAGGGTCCAGACCCGAAACATCAGCTTTCCTGCTCCTCTGATGCTGCCTGGCCTGCTGTGTTCATCCAGCTCTACAACTTGTTATCTCAGACTCCAGCATCAGCAGTTCCTACTATCTCTAAATTAATTTGACTGCTCCTTTTCAAAGTTGAACTTAAGCACAGGATGAAGCCCATCAAGATGTGTAAGAAAATATGCAGGGGGTAGGAAGATTAGCTGTCATCTATTGAAGTCATGTTTCTCACAGAAGATATTTGAAAGACAAAAGTAAAATACCATGGGTGCTGGATATCTGAAACAAACACAGAGAATGCTGGAGAAACTCAGCAGCCTAGAAGCATCTGTGGAGAGAGAAACAGAATTAACATTTCGGGTCTCGTATGACGTCTTCAGAAGCGCAAGGTGTTGGAAAATGAATTAATTATATTCTTCTGACAGAGGTGGAGGAGGAGCAAGGATGCAAATAGTGTAGAGGCTCAGTGCAAAAGACGAAGAACTGTTTACTAGTGGTGGAACAGAAAAAGAAGTGTAAAACTGGTGTAAATTAAGGTGTGAAGAGGACAATATACAATCACAACACAGGATCCAAAACATGCCTTATCTAGCCTACAAGCTATTAACAAAATTCACTGCACCACGGAATAAGGTGATCTTTCACAGACTGCCAATGGCCAGGACAATTAGAAAGTTGACATATTTTACAGACGATCACAAAAGGAACTAATACTGGACAGCAACAAAATCTTGGCAATGCTGTGTGATGAGGCAGCCACTATACACAAAAGGTAAAGAACCGTGATTGGATAGGTTATTTTAGATCTGGTGCCAAGTGGATGCAGACACATTGCTGGTTTAGCCTCTGTACCCCAGACGTCTCAGCATCAGGGTATGTTCTAGGTAAACTGCTAGTCAAAGAATTTTGTTCCAGCCATAGTTGGTGTCTCACAAAACGGGTGTGATGGTACCCTCTTATTAAATATGTCTGAAATAAACATTTGCTCATTCATTTATAAAGAAAGTAGTGTAGTGTTATAAAGCAGAAGCCGACCCCTCACTCTGATAACTAAAACCAGAGATGCTCGCCTCGCCCTATAATCTATTAAAAGAAGTATGAGAAGTGGTATAACCTGCCTCTCGCTCCCAATCTGTTATAAAGGAGTTGTTAAATGAAATAAACTTCTGACACTCACTCTACAACCAACAAGTAACTATTTATCTAACTCTTAACAGTGAACAAATTAACTGAACTATTAGCAAACCAAACAATTCCCCTCTAACTACCAACTATTCCTGAATAAAACAAAATTCTAATGGCATGCTGTTTCAATAAATACAAGTCCCACTTATATAAAACGAAATTTAAAAAAAATAGAAGTTCGTCTCTCGAAATTGCAGCCAGGTTACGTCTTCTGGTATGTTCCGTGTCTTCTCCATTGAATTTAGAAGAAGATCATAGATCTTCTGTTAGGAACACTAACTAAGAGTGCCATGATACCTTTATTTAGATGATACTTTCTCTAAGAGCTGATCTCTTAGCGGATGGCAGTTCGCTCTCGCCGATTTTGCAACTGTCCCCGTCTTTTATACCCTTGGTAACATATCAATTTCTTACAATAGGATTGGTCCTATGTTGTCAAAACCATTAGATACTAAAAACCAATGACATTTAAATCTAAGTGCCTGGTTTAAATTAATTGGCTAAATCAAAACTTGATGTCTTGATAACAAAACAAAACTGTGGCTTGGCCTGCTAACCATCCAACCTTTTGATATAAATGTTACAATTCAGGTGCTCCATGTACCTGCAAACCCACAAACTGCCCACACGGACATTGTTTTTTAAATCTCCAAGCCTAGAGAAAGCACATCATCTTTTAAAAGGACCACACACTGCTTTCCCCCCTATCATTTTATAAACATCAATATTTTACAAACACCAAATTCCTGCTTTCAATCCACAAGTACTCTACCCGACTTCGCAACAGTAGCAACAAGGAAAGAAAAAAACATGCCAGTTTTGTGACCTTGAAGTAAATGTGGATGTGCCAATCTCAAGAGTGTACTGTCAGCAGAATGCATTTCATTTCATGGTGTGGCAGTGAGTCAAAGTATAACACTCAACAAATACTTTCTCCCAACCCAATTGTGAGATTTATCATGTATCACTGTATTAGGAAGTTAAATGAATGTGAACCAACCTGTCTCCAAACATCATGGCCTCATTCAGACACTGGGTGCAGGCTTCATGGAACCACTGCTTACATCTGCAGCACTGGAGCATCTTCAGGTACCACCTGGTGTTAACAGATAAGAGGAATCACATTTACCTCAGTGCGAAGTATCAACACACTTACACTATAACAAGGCAACACATTTTAACCTTTCCTAGCTGATACCACACATCGTCAGTTATAAGCAATTTCTGACAACAAGTAAACTGCTGAAGATGAGGTAATAAAAACTCTGAAGTTTCAAAGCAGGTTTTCATGTAGAAACATCACATTTACCATTTTCCTGGCATTGATTTCAGAAAAATTAATGAACTACATACCCCCAGTCTCTTGTGAAAACTGTCCTTGGATGTATTTCCATGGTTCTGGCATTGCTCCAGTACCTCATCCAAATGGTTACACTTTGCAAATAAATCAAAGTGTAGCAGACCATGAACAGCATCACGGCTAAGCCAATCCCATCATTATCAAACATCATCACACTCTAGATCTTTCCAGCAGCAAGCATGAATCCCTAGTTAACTCACTGTAACCCCTTTAACGCAAGGCTAAGTGCTGCTCCTCAGTGTGTTTGCCCACTTGCTCCGAGTTCACCAGACTACTATAACAAAAGATTGACGTGGAAATATGATTCACTAGACCTTAGCACAAATAAAGAATTGTTAAAATGTCACAACACTATATGATATAGGACAAAACTGGTCTGTCCGTTTCTCATTATAGAGAAGCGGAGTGCTAGAAACAAGGTGAAACTACATTTAATGCTCCTTCCTATCCAATCATTTTTGTTATTGTGTGTAAAGGTTCAGTTTTGGAGCAATAGGTAGTGATCAATGCAAGCTTCTGCTTGGTGAGCTCTAATCAGTTAATCAGTTAAGGAGGGTTGTGTGAAGGTAACGTATTAATTGATGTCATTAACATTTATGACTTATGAATGTAAACATTCAGAGCTACAACATGTCTGTCACTGATTCATCCAACATGGAGGAAAAAAGTAAAGAAGTGGACATGCAGGCAATAGAAGAAGCTAATCTGATGGTTCAGTTCATTGATGGCTATCACATGACATTCTCAGATGAATGCAGGATCAATACCTCTGACATGGCCCAAACAGCAGACACAGAAAGTGAGAGAACGAATGTGAGAGAGAGAGAGAGGGCAAGAGTGAGAGAGAGGGCAAGAGTGAGAGAGAAGGCAAGAACGAGAAAAAGTGAGAGAGAGGGTGAGAAAGAGACAGAGAAATCGAGGGCGAGAGTGAGAAAGAAATTGGGGGGGAAAGAGAGAGAGGATGGGGTTGATGAGGATGATGATTTGCAGAACTGAAATAAATAGTATAAGGAATCAAGGACTGACTTTCGAAGTGATCATGAGCTAACAGCACCACAGACCTTGCCATACTCCCACAGCAATGATTAACAATTTGATTTAAAAATAAATCAAACTGTACTTGGGCATTGTATAAATTTCTTAAAAGCCAATCCGTTCTCCCTTCCCCTTCCCTCGAACAAACTTTTCATTTTCCTTCAGTAGTCATGCTCTTTATAGCCTATGCTGGATAGTACTTGCCATGGAAATTCTTGTCAGGAAAGAAACATATTCTTTAGGCCTAACTATGCAAGGGCAGCGGAATAAGAAATATTCAAATTGTTTTTCTTATAGGTGGCAGGTAATATAATGGAATTCATTTAGCAGTGAATTGTAGCTCTTTTATAGTCAAACTTGGCTAATTCACAACTTTTCAGTTTAATAAGAATTCTTGAAATGTAATAAATGGGTTCTACCAAAAGGAACAGGGGAGGGTCAGAAGATCTAAAGAGAAGTCTCCCTGTTCCAGTCACACTGGATGTCCCCAAGCAACCATTCAAAGAACAGGAACGAGCACCAAAGGTGGTGGAAGAAAAAAGTTTGGAATGTGTGAAACTAAAAAAAAAAATCTATAGTGTAAATCTTACTCTCCAGGTCCCCCACAGTAGCAGTAACACTGCTGTAGGTTGGTTCTGTGCAGAGAATCCCAGTTAAGTTCATCCATGTTGTACGGCAAAACTCGTTTGACACTCTGCAAAGCTTTAGCAAGCGGTCCCTTTTTCAAAGCACCTCCTTTCTGTTATGAGGAGACAAAAACACAAATCCAGTGTTATCACACAGGCATCATAGTACCTCAGTACTCACTACAATTCCATTAGAAGCTGTGTACAACAATAGTGCTCAATATGAGGACAGTGTACATCATTGTTCCCTTGCTGTCTAATGACCAAGCCAACCCAAACAGACTACTGTCTTTCTTCATTGTCTTTTATTCCCGCATTGATCAGTAGGTATCTAACTTAAACTCAGGTTTTTCCTCAATCTCGGGTTCTTGGTACAAGCAAGCTATCTGCCATCACTCATTTTCATCTCTGCACTATGTGGGTGAATACAGGTTATAGGTGAATCAGCTTTGCTGGGAACCAGTTTCCAGCATTTATATTTTACTTTGGAATTTAGATTTACTCAATTCTTTTAACAATTCATCATTTGCACCAAATTCGGTGCTTTATCAATTGTTTTGGTTTCTTTCGCAAGTAGTACATCAGTTAACTTGAGTTTCACATTTGTTCCTGATTTATGAATATCATATTTGCTATCAGTTAGCAGCAAATTACAACTGACTGGATGGAAAACTAACCAAAAAATGAAACAATTTAATAAAAGGCATGGACAAACAGGAATAGCAATTAGCCGCTATTTGAACTCAGGATGTAAGTGGCACAGTGGTACAGTGGTTAGCACTCCTGCCTTACAGTGACAGGGACTGGAGTTCAATTCTAGCCTTGGGCAACTGTCTGTGTGGAGTTTGCACATTCTCCACAAGTTAGCATGGGTTTCTGCTGGGTGCTCCAATTTCCTCCCGCAGTGCGGATTAAGAACAAAGAACAATACAGCATAGGAACAGGCCCTTCAGCCCTCCAAGCATGCATCGACACATATTTCCCTTCCAGGCTAAACTGCTGTGTAGTGTCCAGGGATGTGCGGGCTAGATGGATTAGCCATGGGAAATGTGAGGTTCAGAGATGGGGGTGGTGCTAGGCCTGGGTGGGATTCACTTCAGCGGGTCGGTGCAGACATGATGGGCTGAATGGCCTCTTTCTGTACTATAGAGATTCTATGTATCTAACCTCAAATTCCCTCAGATCTCAGGTAATACCTATTCAAAACAGCTATATTTTGTGACATAAAAGGGAAATACAGCAGAATAATTTATATACATTACACAGTACATGATTGCCTTTGGATGAGAATCATACAATTTGTAGTGCACAATTTCACTGGAGAAGTGTTACTCACTGAAAAAACAACTGAACATCACAGCAAAGTTGTTTCATCACATCTTGCACTGTACAGCCTGGCATAATACTGGGTGTGGTGGCAAGTGCTGTGTTTCAGGGTTGAATATTCAGATTTTGTCCCGGTCATTTTTAATACCAACAATAGCATTTACACTAAGAACCATCAATAATCAGGCAGAGAAAAGAGCATTTTCACGGTTTTTCAGGGTTCAAAGAAATAGGAAGTTGTCTCATCCAACATCCTTCCTCATTCCAAATGAGAGCGGAAAAGAAAGTAATTCACTTCACTTGATTTTTGTGGGATCTTGTTGTGCAATAACTGGCTGCTCTGTTAACGTCAAAACCAATGGTGACTATGACATGCAATAGTAATTCATCAGCTCTGAAATGTCTCGGAACATCCTGAGGATGCAATAAGGCATAATTTAGGTTCCTCATTGAGGGAGTTATGATAAGCATATCAAGAACAGTGTCACATTGTCTTTGTAAGGTTGATATACCCTTCACACGTGCACTGAAGATCACAGAAAATCACCAGCAACTGGGATTATAAAGGTCCGTAACTCTTGGCCAACAATGTATTATTTACTTCTTTGTGATCTACCATTTAATTCCTTTTATCCAAACCACTCTTTTTGAATTTTATAAATACACACCAGTAGTTTTAAGCTCTTTCCTGAATCCTAAATATTAACCAGATTATCACAAATACTCTTCCTTCAGCACTACTTTTCACTTGCTAGACAACCTGAACAAGCTTATAAGCATGCACTTATAGTTTTAATAGCACACAGACAGTTTTTCCCCAAGATGTCAAACCCACTAGTTACTTAACCAAGAATTGCTCTTACCCTGACAGCCAATGCAAATATACACTGCCGACAAAACCAAGGTGAAGTGGATACATTTGTTGTGCTATCTACTTTTGGATTGTGGCATTGCTGATGGTAACCTAAAGAGAAACAAAGATTTACTATTCCAGTTGAACTTAAATTACATTAGACAGCAAGTGACAAATAACCTGCAATACGGTACCATATGTGAAAGTGTAATTGCAACAAGTAAACCAGATTCATAAGATATTAGGAGACAAATAGGAACATTTTGTGCTCATTAAAATGAGGTGTTTTTTGTTGGGAATTAAGTATCTTTCTATTTCAGGGATCCAGGGTCAAAATTGTGCTAAAGGCATAGACAACATATTCTTATCGGACCATATGTTATTAGAGAGAGACAGAGAGATGATTGGTGGTGGTTTAATCTGAGGGTCACCACACCTCAAGCAAAGTTACAGGTTGAGAAGGGGAATCCTTCATGGTATCCTTAGTCAGCACAGGAATTGAACCCATACTGTTGGTGTTACACCACATTGCAAATTAGCCATTAAGCTAACTGAGCTAAATCAACCCCACTCACTAGTCAAAGGGATATAATTAGCTGTGAGATGCAGTTCATTTGTACAAGATATTTCATCCTCTGAGGAACATCCCTTTCTGTATCAGTGTAAGTTGTTATTGTATACCATAGTGTCATATTACCTCATGCTGAATAGCGCTGAATTAGAAGCAGTTCTGAGCTGCAGACCTACGTAGGAGTTGTTTGAAGTGCCCAAATTCATTTCACATATGACCCTGAAATCAGCTTTCTATTTTACTAGTTTCCAATGTGGATTCATTGTTTGGAAATAAGGCATTAACCTCCTTTAATCTAATCAGTTCCTTCTCCCCTTAGAGTATAGTTACTTTATTCGAGCATTTATTTCTGAATATACTAGTGCAGAAACACTTAAAATATATGAACATACTTAACAGTGGAAAATAATATCCTTTTCTAAACAAAGTTAGCAAGAACTGCAGGTGCTGGAGTCAGAGATAACACAATATGGAGCTGGAAGAACAGCTGGGACCCAAAACATCAACTTTCCTGCTCCTCTGATGCTGCCTGGCCTGCTGTGTTCTTCCAGCTTCATACTTTATCTCCTTTTCTAAATAGACTTTTTTTTAAAATCAAAATGAATTATTTTCAGCAGACAAGATTGGTATGTCATCTCCACATAAAATTGGAACATTTGACATAAAAGTCAAGAGTTTTCGATAAACTGACTTCATTAGTTAAAATATTCTCTCATGTACAAGATAACAAGATTGTCCATAGAGTGCCAAGTACAGTGATCGTCAGTTATTGACAAGACTAGGGAAGCTGGGATTGTTCATCCTGTTTATATCCCTCTATTCCCTGCCTGTTCATGTGGCTGTCTAACTACCTCTTAAATTTCACTGTCCTATCTGCTTCTATCTTCTCCTCTGGAAGTATGTTCCAGGCACCTACCACCCTCTGTGCCTCGTACATCTCCTTTAAACTTTCCCTCTCTCACCTTAAACCTACGCCCCCTAGTATTTGACATTTCCAATCTGGGAAAGAGAGCCCAACTATCCACCCTATCTACACCCCTTATAATATTATATACTTCTATCAGATCACCCTCAGCTTCCTATGCTCTTGTGGAAACAATCCAAGTTTGTTCAACCTCTCTTTATATCTCATATACTCCAGTAATGGTAACATACTGGTAAAGCCTTTTTTACACATTCTCGATCCTTCCTATAGTGTGGCGACCAGAACAGTGCAAAGTACTCCACATGTGGTGTGACCAAAGTCTTATAAGTTGCAACATGACTTACCAACTTTTATACCCAATGCCCTGAGTGATGATGGCAAGCATGCTCTATATCTTCTTTATCACCTTATCCACTTGTGTTGCCACTTTCAGGAAGCTATGGACTTATGCCCCAGGATCCCTCTGTATATCAATGCTCCTAAAGGTCTGGCCATTTACTGTATACTTTCCTCTTACATTTGACCTCCCCAAAATGCGTCACCTCACACTTATCCAGATTAAACTCCATCTACCATTTCTCCACCCAACTTTCCATCTGATCTATATCCTGCTGCGTCTTTGACATCCTTCCTCACTACCCACAATTCCATCAATTTTCATGTCATCTGCAAACTTACTAATCAGACTACCAACATTTTCATTCAAATCATTTATATGTATTACAAACAACAGAGGTCCCAGCACTGATCCTTGCGGAACACCACTGATCACAGATCTCCAGTCAGAAAAACAACCCTCCACAACTACCTACTTTCTTCTACAACCAAGCCAATTTGTATCCAACTTGCCAACTCATCATGGATCCCATGCAACTTAATCTTCTGGACCAGCCTACCATGATGGACCATGTCAAATGCTTTAGTAGAATCCACCTAGAAAACATCTTTCTCTTCTCTTCCCTCCCACAGCAGCAATAGGGACCCCTGGTCCTCACTTACCATCCCTCCAGCATCCACATCCAAAGGATTCTTAGCCACCATTTCCACCACCTCCTTTGGGCTGCCACTACCAGACAAATATTCCCCTCCCCTCCCTCATCAGCTTTCCACAGGGACAGCTTGGTCCACTCCCAACATCTCCCAGCAACCCCACAGCATCTTCCCATTCAATCACTGAAGATGCAAAACTTGTCTGTTTACTTCCTCCTTCCTCACTATACAAGGCTCCAGGCACAACTCCTAGGTGAAGCAGAAATTCACCTGCATTTCACTCAATTCAATCCACTGTATTTACTGTTCACAATGTGGTCTCCTCTATGTTGAAGAAATGAAGCGCAGATTGGGTGATGGCTTTGCTGAACATCTATGTTCAGTCTGCAAAAATGACCCTGAGCTTCCTGATACCTGCAACACACTTCCCTGCTCCCTTGCCAACATCTCTGTCTCAGGTTTACAGCAGTGCTCCAGAGAAGCTGGAAGAACAGCACCTCATTTTCCACTTGGGGGACCCTGCAGTCTTCAGGATTCAACAACAAATCAATAATTTTAGGACCTCAGCATCTTCTCCCATGTCCTTACCCCAACCCCCATACACCAGACCTTGTCATCACATGGGTTGCTACCACACACAACCTGTTGTCAACTAATAATAGTCCCTATTAGCAGCTATTGATTCTCCCAGCTGTCCCTTACCCATTCCTTTGTTCTCTCACTCTCATCTCTACCTATCATTTATTCCTTGCCTGCTCTCCCCACCTCATCTTCAGCATATATACCATACTTTTCCTCACTAAAATCAGTTATGAAGAAAGGTCACTGGATCTGAAACGTTAACTCTGCTTCAGGTGCTGCTAGAACTGCCGTGTTTTTCCAGCAATTTCTGTTTTTGTATAACATCTCCCATCATCCAAGGTTCCCAAATCTTGCCATCCTTCCCTTATATCCTCACAGGAACATGCTGATCCTGAACTCTGGTCAACTGACGTTTAGAAGGCATCTTTAGGAATCCCTTACGATTTACTTTCAAACTTCCAATCCAATTTTTCCAGTTCCTGCCTAATACAATTGTAATTAGCCTTCCTCCAGTTTAGCACTTCCACCTGAGGTCGAGTCTTATACTTACCCATAACTATCTTAAAACTTACGGAATTATGATCACTGATCCCAAAATGCTACCCCACTGAAACTTTGATCACCTGGCCATGTCTAATATGCCTCCTTCCCTAGTTGGTTTATCTACACAATGTTTCAAGAATCCCTCTTGGATGCACTTAACAAATCTGAATCCAAATATCATCTCGACATAAAACATTTGCTCTTTTATCACCACAGATTCTGCCTAACCTGATGAGTATTTGGGGCATTTCCTGATTTTATTACATCAAAGAAATAGTTTCAGTTCAGTTCTAATGGGAGGAATGAATTAAAGAATTGTGTTATTTCCTCTGCCAAGGTAGCGCATGGCATGAAGTGATGTGCACTTGTAAGTGTTCACATGTCATGCCACTTTTTCAGCCCGTATTTCTTATTCTGAAGACCCCACTAATCCCTGAAACTGTCCGAGGAGTACTGGATGAGACAAGAAACTCATCCTGTGGAAAGCAGGTTGCCATTGTGACAATGCTTCTAATCAACTTTCCAGCATATCTCTAGCTGGGCTTGGGCATTTTCAAAGGAGATTATTAACAGTGCCTCTTACCTAGCCCACACTTGCCACAAATCAAAATTTCATTAGGTGCTGCAGATGCTTTCTCCGAGCAGATGTTACACCTCGGCTCTTCTCCAGGAACACCAGCTGTTTAAAACAAAATGACCTTTAAATGCTAATTTTTGTTTTTACAAAGAATCAAGCATTAGAAGAAAGAGAAGGACAAATAAGAATGAAATAATGTCGATAAATAAATTCGCAGAATAAGGGAGGGTAAAAATTTAACTAGATATCTGCCCTGATTGCAATACATCAAGGTACAGCTTGACTTTGTGTGATTGTATAAAATGTGCATTTGGTGAATGCTATACATCTTTCATGAGGTTTATCTCAATTAAAGTCAACAGGGAGAAGAGAAAGAACAGAAAGTAAAATGAGCCACTGATTCATTAACTTCAACCCAGCTGTCAGCATCTGCCCCACTGACAGCTGTTGGTCAGCACTTGTGTCAATTTCAGGAGAGGAGCTGGATCAGCTCAGCTGTGATATGTCCCCTTATTCAGGTAGCTCATTGACACTCACCTTCGAAGTCACTTGAAGCAAACTGTATTCTAGCAAAATTCACTGTCTTCAGGAAAGTAGGAAACTGTCAGAAGAAGCTTTGTTTGCAGGCTTCAATGTCACTAATTACAGCTGAAATAAAAGTGAAGGGCACTTGGAACTGAATATAACTATTATTCCATTTGATGAGGTAAATACCGTTAAAGCCTGTTTCCGTGTGAATTTGAGTCAGTGCGAGAGGGAGCAGGAGTACACTAGATATCTACCATGTGGATAAGATGAACATCACAGCTAGGGGTGAGACAATGCAGTGGCACTTTCTACTGTTCATATCTCTGAGCCACGAGACACAAGGTTAAGTCCACCTGCTCCAGACGTGTGTCATAACACTCTGGAACAGGTTGATTAGAAAATATCTACCTGATATTTAAAAATAAATCACCAAGAACCTCCCATCAGGTAGAGAACTCAAGAAAGAATATAAATTAAGGAAGGGGAAGAACGTCAAAGGGTCCCCATTTCTGACTGTAATCAATGGACAATGTGGGGCTAGTAACATAAGAAGCATAATGCAACAACCTTGCCACTATTGGCATTGGTGAGACCATTTTTGGAATACTGCGTTCAACTCTGGTCTCCCTGCTATAGGAAGGATGTGGTGAAACTTGAAAGGGCTCAGAAAAGATTTACAATTTGTTGCCAGGGATGGAAGGTTTGAGCTATGGGGAGAGACTGAATAGGCTGGGGCTATTTTCCTTGGAGCGTCAGAGGCTTGGGGCATGACGATATAGAAGTTTATAAAACATGAGGGGCATGGATAGGGTGAATAGTCAATATTTTTTACCCAGGCTAGGGAAATCCAAAACTAGAGGGCAGAGGTTTAAGACGAGAGAGGAAAGATTTAGAAGAGACCTAAGGGACAACATTTTCACACAGAGGGTGATGTGTGTATGGAATGAGCTGCCAGAGGAAGTGGTGGAGGCAGGTACAATTACAACATTTAAAAGGCATCGGGATGGGTATATGAATAGAAAGGGTTTAGAGGGACATGAGCCAAATGCTGACAAATGGGACAGGATTAATTTAGGATATCTGGTCAGCATGGGCGAGTTGGACCAAAGGGTCTGTTTCTGTGCTATATATCTATGACTCTACACTCTGGGCTTACTCTTAAAGAATGGCTTCTGACACCTGTACTACCATACCTTAAGGTGGGGAAACTGTGAAATAATCAAAGAAAATATGATCCAGTTCCTCCTTACATTTCTCATTTTATTTTCAATAAAAGTGGTAGAAACAATACTAACATTAGTGAGAGAGAGTCAGAATATTAACCTTTTTAAACACTGGAATGGTTGTATAAATGAGAAGGTAGTGAGCCTAAACTCAATAGGTATTTTGAATTGTACTCACCATGCTGTATATCTTTCCACAGAATCCAAAATTCAGAATTATCTTCAAACACTAAAAGGCAACTGTGTTTATGCTTGTTCACCTGAAAAGATTTTTAAAAAAACTCAACTCACTAATTCAATTCCAAATGTATGATTAATATTTCAATAATGATTAATAACAGAGATGATAATTATCTTATTTTAATCATCATAAACTTTTTTTTTCTTTTTCTTTATTTTATTTGTCCATTTTCTCTTTGATGCTCTGCTGTACCTCCAGTTCATCAGTGCAAAATACAATTAAAGCAGAGACCAGGAGAAACAATCTTTACTCAATGAACACTAAATGTTTAGAATTATCTCTCAAACAAAGTAATGGCTTTAAAGAAAGCACAAATCAAAATAAGATTAGAGACTGTGATGAGGGAGTGAATTTATTGCAAGAATGAACTCTGTAGAACTGAACTGTTTTTTTTTTCCCTCAACACTGGGTAGGGTAGGGGAGTCCAAAACTAGAGGATAAATATTTAAGGCGAGAGGGGAAAGATTTAAAAGGGACCCGAGGAGAATGTTTTCACATAGAGCGTGGTGCGAATGTGGAACAAGCTGCCAGAGGAAATAGTAGAGGCAGGTACTATTACAGCAGTTAAAAGACATTTAATATATGGATAGAAAAGAATTAGAAGGATATGGGCCAAACTTAGGCAAATGGGACTAGTTTAATTTAGGAAACCTGGTCAGCATAGAGGAGTTGGGCTGAAGGGCCTGTTTCTGTGCTATATGGCTTTCTGGTATTCATTTCTCATTATGTAACATGAATTATACAAATATAAAAATAGCCAATTAAGATCTTCAAAGTTAGTCTATCAATCTGAATCTCAAGTTCAGTTGAAATTCACGTATTTTCTGGGTGTGGGGTGTTGTTGTTGGGTTGGTGGGGGGCAGTGGGGAAGACAGTGAGAGAGAGAGAGAGCATCTGTTTGGTTGGGAATTGTGACATTCCTTCCTACATTGGCCAAATATAATCTATTGGAAACTTCATTAAGGAAAATAGAGATTCACACAATCTGGGATCTCAGATGCTCACAGCCTGAGGGAGCAGTGAATAGAAAAAGAGGAACACACTTATAAATAGAAATTTATATAGAGAGACATTTTCAAATTGAATTAGGAATTTCAGGAATGTTCATGCCTTCTTGATTTTTCCCAGGTAGACCAAACCATCTGTCCATCTGGACAAGACATACTGCCCTTCAGTAAATGCACAATTTTGTTCCATATGTATTGTTCCATTTTGCAGAGATTTGTTAGAAATCTTCGGGATGCATTTGGAGACGGCACCAACATCTCTCCGTTGTGGTTCCAATGTGCCTTTCTCCATCAGCTCCTCCTAATGCTGTAAATCAAAGTAAGAAAAATCACATCTTAGTAATATTAAAAGAATATCAGCCAATTAACAATTTCCACTGCACTCAAACAGAGTGATAATTTTGTTCCAGAAGATATGGTTGCTGCAGTATACGTCTACTAAGTTCTGAACCACTATCCACTATTTCTGAAGACCCTAAGCAACCTCCAGAAGTTTAGTTCGAAGTTACTACAAATGTAAATCACAGCAAAGTTTAGTAATATTCCAAAGAAACAACAGCACAGAAAATAGACCAGTCAGCCCAAACCTCAACTTTGTGCTGTTAAAATCCGGCCTCTTGAACATCTCTCACTCTAGTCCCCCCTAGCCCCCACCCCTCCAACCAGTGGCCATACCTTCAGTTACCAAGTTTTTAAGGTCTGCAATTTCTTCCCTTAACCTTAACCTCGACCTTTCAGACACTCCATCTAACTTATCACTGAACATGCATTTGGCCATCGGTCATAGCACCTGGCATGGCTTGGACAAATTTTATCTGATTACATTCCTTGTGAGAACTTCATTTAGGCACTTTATTAAAAGCAAGTTCTTGTTATACTTCTCTTTTTTTTCTAGCAACTGAGAATTTTATAGTCTGGTTGTCAATGCTTTGGCACTGCTGCTTTTACATCTAAATATTATGCCTCAGGTTTCTCCTCTCTACCGCCTTTCAGTATCTGTGATTGCAATACACCTGGATTTGGGGTCTAGATCTCCTCAAAATTGGATTGCTTGCTTTGCATGTCTTTCCTTCCTTTCTTGACTTTCTGTTCCACGTACGTTCTCAAGATTTCGACTGTTCTCAATTTTTCTTTGGTAGCCTCTTCAGAAAGTATCTATAACAATTTCAGTCTTGAGACTTGTCAGTTTAATACAGTGACAGTCAATTGATCCTTGTCTAAATTCTCCTTTTGTTACTAATATGCCTTTGCATGTGTATTGTACATGTTGTACGTTAACTGACAACGTTTTGACATTTCTCTGTAAAAAATTGCAAATTTGAAATGGCTTTTATGTATGTCATATTATATCAGTTGAAGTCAGCAGATAGCATCCATGTATTGGTGTCAAAATGTTGTTAGATAAAACTGCACAGCAAAACGTATGTGCCTAATTTAAGTTAGCACAACAATGCAACATCAGGGGATGTGATGTTGATAGATGTCCTTTAAAACAGATAACTAAAGTTCTAGCTCAGCACTTCCCAAATGTTTTCCCACTGTCACCATTTTGAAACTTGAATATTAACACACCTCCTGAGCGAGAACTGTGGAAGCAGGGGCCTGTTAGATTGGGAGCGTAGTTGTTGTAACTCGGACAGAGCTCCACTGTCACCTCAGAACTTGGGACCCCAAAATTTCAGTTTGCAATCCCTCTCAGAGTGCCAACCATCACCTCTGGGAATCCTGCTTGAGCTGTACTGCAGTATTGTTTGAAAACAAGAAGGAAGTTCCCCTAACATCCTGAGCAACATCCTTCCTTCAATTAAAGCCAGATTTACCTCCATAATAGTGGTCACCACTCCCTAAAACATGTTTTGAAACACTGCAATTATAAGATACTTTAGAAATCTTTGTTGTCTCTGTTACAGTTCCCTTCCTTTTAGCATTAAATATATCTATATGAGAGTTTGAATAAAACAATGTAACAAGTAAGATTAAAACAAGATAATGCAAAATCCGCCCACATGTATTTACATTTTGAAGAAAAATATTAAATGAATAACAATTATTTTCATATTGAAACACCCAAGATTTAAATCACATCCAAGTTGTGAATGAAACAACTTTAAATTGTTTTTAAAGTCAATTTGCTTGGTCAGTTAAATCCAAAAAATAAATTAGTTTATGCTGTTCATTGTCTCTGGGATATCAATCAATATACAGTGAATTCTGTAGCCTTAACTGAAATTCACAGAAATGGTGGATTGGTTTGCAATTTTAGTTCAACGTTATTCTTCTTTTAATATCCACTTCCTTGTTACTTGCTGAATGTTTATTTTTGTCATTATATGATTGTTATAATGTTACATATTTTCAAGCTGATTATTTAGAATCAATGGATTTTTTGTAAGTTGCTACAATTCAGCCTTTGGGGCTGCATATATGTTTCTCAAAACAAATGCCATTACAGATGTAACAGAGTTGCACATTTTCTTACTACATCCTCTGACATAGTAAGGAAATGCATGTTGAGGATTTCAGACTTAGATGCCAGAAATATGATTACCTTATTTTGCGATCTAGATAGATTGTCAGGGTAATATCAACGTGACCTGAATTTTAAAATATCCGAATTTCATAATAGTTTGGGAAATGAAATTGTTGCAGTGGAACCTGGCATTCCAGTACCTATTTATGCTGGACTTGTGATCTTCTGAACTCCCTTACATCAACAACGTTTGTTCATTAATTATTCAATTTTACTAAATAAATTTATTCTTGCAATGCACATCACAATGTGGACAATTTAGGGGTCATTCTAAACAAATGCATTTAATCCTCTTAATCCATTTTTTAAAAAAATATTGGTCACGATAGTCCAAGTTGAGAATCAAGACAGCACCATGAGTTCTTTAAGCACCAATTACATTGAAAGAACTCCCAGGCAATTCTTCAACTGAGTTACTGTGGATTCAAACAAGGATTTTGAAAACAGCATGATCTGGATATGAACACTGGCGGTATGGTTAGTAAGTTTGCAGATGACAGCAAAATTGGAGGTGTAGTAGACAGCATAGAAGGTCTCCTCAGAGCACAATGGGATCTTGATCAAACGGGCCTATGGGCTGACGAGTGCAGATGGAGTTTTATTTAGATAAATGTGAAGTGCTGCAGTTTGGAAAGGCAAATCAGGGCAGGACTTATACACTTAATGGTAAGGTCCTGGGGAGTGTTGCTGAACAAAGAGACCTTGGAGTGCAGGTTCATAGTTTCTTCAAAGTGCAGTTGCAAGTAGATAGAATGGTGAAGAAGGCATTTGGTATGCTTGCCTTTATTGGTCAGAGCATTGAGTACACGAATTGGGAGGTCATGTTTTGACTGTACAGGACATTGGTTAGCCCACTTTTGGAATACTGCATTCAATTCTCGTCTCCCTGCCATAGGAAGGAAACTTGAAAAGGTTCAGAAAAGATTTACAAGGATGTTGCCTAGATTGGAAGTTTGAATTACAGGGAGAGGCTGAGAAGACTACAGCTATTTTCCCTGGAGTGTTGAAGGCTGAGGGGTGACCTTATAGACATTTATAAAATCATGACAGGCATGGATAAGGTAAATAGACAAGTTCTTTTCCCTGGCATGGGTGAGTCCAGAGCTAGAGGGCATAGGTTTAAGTGAGAGGGGAAAGATTTAAAAGGGACCTAAGGGGCAGGTTTTTCCACACAGAACGCGGTGCATGTATAGAACGAGCTGCCAGAGGAAGTAGTGGAGGCTGGTACAATTACAACATTTAAAAGGATCTGGATGGGCACATGAATAGGAAGTGCTTGGAGGAATATGGGCCAAATGCTGGCAAATGGGACTAGATTTATTTAGAATATCTGGTTGGCATGGGTTTGGACTGAAGGGTCTGTTTCTATGCTGTATTCCTCTATGACCAACTCTTACTTAGCAACATAACTCTTTATCACGGTGCTGCTGGTATCAAGGTACTCCGCAGGAAGGATATAAATGTTTTAGAGAGGGTGCAGAAACTATTTAGAAGATTGGTTTTAGTTGAACAAATTCAGTTATGTAGAATGGAGAAGCTGGGGTCGGACTCCCTAAAAAGGCTTGACAGGAGATATAAAGAGATATTTAAAATCATGAGCGGTCTGAGCAGAGTAGCTCAAGAAAAACTGTTCCCATTGTCAGAAACATTGAAAGCCAGAGAACACAGATTTAAGATGATTGTTAAAAGGACCAAAGGCAAAATTAGTTTTTTTTTTAAACGTAGCAAGTGTTCAGAATATGAAATGCACTGTCTAAAAATGTCAATTCAATTGTGGCTTTCAAAAGGGAATCAGATAAGTTCCTGAAGAGGAAAGAAATAACAAGACCACAGGGAAAGAATGGGGGCACTGGAACTAACTAAATTGTTCTTGCAGAGACCCAGCACTATTTTGACAGGCTGAATGGTCTCCTTCCGTACTAAAGTCATTCTAGGATTCTATAAACTCCTTAGATATTTTCAAGAAAGAGTTGGATGTAGTTCTTAGTGTGAAAGAGATCAAAGGATTTGGGAAAAAATGAGTACTGATTTGGACGATCAGTTACGATCATGCTGAACGCAGGCTCAGAGGGCTGAATGGCCTACTCCTGCTCCTATTTTCTATAGAATCATGGAATCCCTACAGTGCAGATGGAGACCTTTTGATCCATGAAGTCTGCGCCAACTCTCCAAAATGCATCCCGTCCAGACCCACACCCCCACCCTAACCATGGTTAATCCACCTTGCCTGGATATGCTAACCTGCATATCTTTGGACTGTGGAGGAAACCGGAGCACCCAGCAGAAACTCATACAGATATGGGAAGAAGGCTGAAACTCGGTATAGCCAGTCACCCAAGGCTGGCATCAAACCTGGGTCCCGGGCACCGTGAGGCTGCAGTGCTAGCCACTGTGCCACCATGCTGCCCCATGGTTACGTTTTAAACATATTAGAATTCAGTTATTCTTGAAAATAATGACTCTTAATTTTACCAAAAGATGTAAATTTCAAGTAACAATTTCATACTAAGACAGAATGATGTTGATTCGTCACATTCATTCATGCCAATGTTTCAAATACAGCACTTATGCACTAAAATAAAACCAAGAACTGCAGATGCTGAAGATCTCAAACAAAAACAGAAATTGCTGGAGAAAAACAGCAGCTCTGGCAGCATATATGGAGCGAAAGCAGAATTAATGTTTCGAATCCAGTGACCCTTCAGAACTTCAGTTGAATTTTTCCAGCAATTTCTGTTTTTGTTACAGCAATTGTCCAGTTGGGTTACTTCAAAGTGGTTATCTGTTAACTTATCTGTTGACTATTTCACTTGCTGAAAGTTTGATTTCACCTGTTGGGGGCAGATCAGACAGTAATGAAGCTAATGTCAACCGAGGTGAGAGAGCCTGTCATCTGCTGCGATATAAATGATTGTCTCGACAGCAAGCACTTCCTGAGAATGTCAAAGCGCGCCAATAAAGACCCGCCCCCTTGAATCGCAACAGCCAATGAAGTTCCGCAAACACAAACTCCAGCCACGCCCCTGAAGGTTCCGATTGGCCCAAAGTTTACAGTGGCCGTTCTAGAGATTGTGAGTGGTTCAACTCGATGTCAATCAGAGCCGGGGCAGTCACTGGCGGCCTCTCTGCGTCCCTGACATTGACAGAAGCGCCGTTACTTTCTTTTCGCAAATTTTACCTCACTCACAGCTAAGAAAGGACCGAGCTCATACATAAAAAAATGTACCTTCCACCCAAAACCAACCTTGACACTGTCTGAGAACACTGACTCAGATCCTGCTCTAATTCAGTCCGAATTGGTCGGACACGTTAAGCCAAAAAAAATTCAAAAGATAAAATCGCAAATAAAATGCAACTTGAGCAGAGCTAATTCCAGAGCTAGAAGAGTTACATGTCAAACATGGCCGCTTGTCAGGCAATAGTTTTGTGCAAATTTGAAAAATATACAAAAGTGCGTTCATCAATATACATTTAGTAATAACATTTTTTTTATTGAATCAAAAAATAAATAAAATCCAGATGCCGGCAACGGAAGGCTTCTGAACCGATAAATACTTCGGTAGATTTCTAAATGATCAATTTTAATTCGCATGCTGACACTGTTTGCGTCATCGAGCAAAATTATGTTTTACATTTTTTGCATGGAATTTCAAATGCATCTCTTAAATCATCATCGAGCGATAGTTTACATTTAGGGGAAAAAAAATCAGCTGGAATTTTCAGAGTTTCAGCAAGTCAGTTAATTGCTAAAAAGAATACTTCAGACTGCATTCCAAATCTCCGAACACTTTGATCCGAATCACAGTTAACTTCACATCAAACAGCAAAACACATTTCTGCATTTTTCAAACTCCTTCCCCGCCTTCTCTCTCTCTCCTGTTTTAGGACAAACCTGCTCCAGCTCCAACCTTACCCTTTCTGTCTCTCTCACACACACGTTTCCACTTCACTGCAGTCTTTCTGATGAAAGTGACGCTTCCTCTTGGATCGACAAAAGTCCTTTCTCAGAGCAATCAGTCAAGCGGGGTCGCCGCTGCTGCTGGGGGGCACAGACACGATGTGCAATCACACTCACAGCTCCCTGCCTCATCAGCCGCCATTTTTTTTTCTCTTTCCCGCGATTTATTTTCGTGTGCTTATGTGATTAACACATCATCATCATAAGGAAGTTGAAGCGATGAGTGTGTGCGGGCTCCGGGCAACACGCATCCTCAGCACCGCCCAGTGCAAATCTAAACCCACAAGAAGCAAGTTCACCGACCCGCAACCTCACCCACAAATCCCAACTGTGTGGAGATGACATTCCACATGAACTTGCTGTCGGACAGAAGGAACCAACTTCTAGATTATAAATATGCAGTTATAAATCAATAGCAATTCATGAGGCTCGTATGTAAGCGTTGGGGAGAGGGGTCTTCATCTTTGTTCTTTTTGATGTATTTGCATTCTGAGCGATATCTGAAAAACGGCTGGAATGTGGCATCATCTCTAACACCTTCATAATCGACGCGATGCTTCACGTGGTGTTCGTGTGACAACGGGTCCCAGCCCAAACACTGGGTGCATTATGTATTCCACGAGGAAGAAAAAAAATCAGGGTTTATTTTACATAAATGCCCCGATAAATGCGACTTCATGATTCAACATACACGTGCACTTCATGATGCACTTTGGAATGAACTTTGTACGGTCTGATTGGTATTACTTTGAGGTATTACTCAGTTCGGTAGGACATCAACATACATTTTCACAAATCTTTGACCATATTTGATAAGATGGTTAAGAAAGCATACAGGAAATTTACTTTATATATAGTGGCATTGTGTACACAATGAGAAAATCAAATCAAAATTCAAGGATGTATATGGTTATCCTTTGTAATTTCCGACGGAAACTGAGTCTTTCTCCATTTCACGAAGTATGTTCCAAATTATAACACCCAATGTGAAATTTCCACTCTGTTTCTTTAGCTGATTCTTTTAAATCTACCATATGTGGCTACTGATCCACTTACCAATGGACCCTTTCAAATCACCGGTTTGATTTGATTTGTTCTTGTCACTTACTAGATACAGTGAAAAGTATTGTTTTGCATGCTAACCAGACAAATCATACCTTACAAAAGTACTTCAGGGTAATAGAACAGAATACAGAATGATTAGGCCTAAGCTGGAGATTTATATGCAATTTTACACGCCATAACTTGGTTTGGATGTTAAATCTGAAAGAGGGTACGGAGAAAATGTACTAGGCATAGAGTTTTTCAGTTCAATAGAGAGATTGCAAAAGCTGTGACTATTCTCTTTAGACAACAGAAGGTTAAGGGAAGACCTAGGAGAGAAAATCCATATGATAGGTTTAAGGTGAAATGGGAAAAAGGGACCTGAGGGGCAACTTTCGCATGCAGAGGGTGGTGCATGTAAAGAAGGAGCTTCCAGAAGAAGTGGTGGAGGTGGGTACAATTACAACATTTGAAAGGCATCTAGATGAGTACATGAATAGGAAGGATTTAGAGAGATGAGGGCCAAATGCTGGCAAATGGGACTAGTTTAGTTTGGGATGTCTGAGCAGCACGTATGAGTTGGACCAAAGTGTCTGTTTCTGTGCTTTACAACTCTATGACTCTATGAGATTGGAGCCAGCAGGAAAAACCTGTTTCTGTTGGTAAGTGGATCAGTAACCACAGATCATAGATTTAAAAGATTTGGCAAAAGAAGTAGAGTGGAAATGGGAGTGATTTTCAGATTGGGTTTTATAATTTGGAAATTACCTCAAAAAGTGGAGAAAGACTCAGTTTCTGTAGGAAATTACTAAGGATAACTGAACACATTGTTGAATTTTCAAGATTTTGCAGGTAAAGTCTTGATTTGATTTGATTTTCTTATTGTCACATACTGAGACACAGTGAAAGGTATTGTTTTGCATGCCATCCAGGCAAATCAGATCATGCATAAGTACAGCAGAGTAATAGAACAGAATGCAGAATATATTGTTACAACTAGAGAGAAGGTGCAGGGAAAGATCAACTCAATATATGAGAGACCCATTCAAAAATCTGATAACAGTGGGGAAGAAGCTATTCTTGTCTGGAGTGTTTGTTCTTGTCTGTCTGGACAATTCTTCGAAAGAGCCATCAAAAACTAAACAGGCTGAACAGCTTAATCAATGCAGTATGTCTGTTATTCTGATAAATATGTACTATTTTGTATTTTCTACATTTAAGTATTCTTTTGAAAAGACTATCATCCTGTGGAATTGTGTTTTTGAATTTCACGTAAAATGAAAATTACATTTTATTTTTTGATTTTATTCAAAGCTAACTGGAAAGCAGGAAATATTGAAGGTGGGGCTCACTTTTATACCCAGGCTTACAAAATGTAAGTAAATGCATTAAAATGATGTTTGAGATATTAATGATTTTCACAATAATATGGGCCAAACACAGGTTTGATTTGGGAAAGCTGGTCAGCATGGATGAGTTGGACTGAAGGGTCTGTTTCTGTGCTGAATGACTCTATGACTCTAATAAAGGTCTACATTTCACTAATTACTGGTTTAACAGTTACTTAGTCCAGGCCCCTGTAGTACAAATATTATAGTAAAACTAGACTTTCTATTTAGCAACCTTTGAATCAGTAAAATAGTGCAGCTACATGATGATGGAATGAACTTTGATGTTACAATGCAAGGTTTTGTGAAGATTACACAGAAAGACACACTATTTTCTGAACTGACACTATTTTGAAATATGAAGAAGCATTTCTTGTTCAGAAATGACAACATCAATTTAAGACTTCCTTTTAATATCCCCATAAACATAAATAAATATTTCTTGAAATTTCATTCTAAGCATGATGCAGTCACTCATCAAGATGTTGTTACTGATAATTTAAAAATGGAGCTTAAAACAAACCATTTGCAAATTGATTTTTAAAAACTGCTAAGTTCCTTCACTGTATGATATTAAATGAAGACACAAAAGTTATTGAATTTTTGATTACAATATGTTTAAGCTGGTTTACCCACCCATGATGTTCAGTAATTTCTCTATGTTAGTGTATTCAGCACTATGCATGAACCTGAAATAACTTCATGAAGGCCAGTATCCTGTCACCAAGTCACCCTTTATTTACATGTGCATAGTACATGACGCTGACCCAGCTAACTCAGAGCAGGCTCCTGAAGTGAACAGAACCCCTGACACTCTTGTTTATGTCTGTCAGCCAGGATTCCCTGATTGGACCAGGTTAACAACCCCAATTAACCATCTAAGTACATCTTCTCACACATAGTATGCTGACATATAGTAGTATATTTTTAACTTTACCCTGTACTCATTGCAGTTGTGTTTTGTTTCACAGTCAGAATGTCAGCATACCTTTAACGGACACAATATGTTAATATATCTTCAAAAGACATCTTCATGGTATCATCACTGTATCATGACATATGACATAAGGGCATAAAGTCCACATACTCCATCTTAACCTAGATCACTTGAAGCATGATAAACTAATGGAAGCATGCTGTGTAACTTCATAGCTTCATGTTATGGTGATTAGAGACCGATGTGTCTGTAAATGTAAAAAAAAATCAGTGTCAAAATTAAAAAAACTCAGTGATGTCTTCATTCCCAATTGGTGTAAATACAACCCAGAGGCAGAAATCTGCAATTTGAAGTCTTTTTAATCAATCTGTTCAAGGATGTTATGACATAACCTCTGGAGCAGGTGAGTCCCAGAAGAAATGACACTACCATTGCACCACAAGCACTCTCAAGCCTGTGACTTCAAACTTACAAACTTGTACTTTTCAAGTTAACATGCATAAGGGACCAGCAACAAGAAAAATAAAGGAAAGCAGTGACACAAAAGGGAGAAAAGAAGAGAGAAACAAGATCAGTAAATGAAACAAGCAAACATTGCATTGCACTCTACTTCTAAATAAAATACAAAGACCCTCCAAAGAGAAATGAAATGCAAACAATTATGGAATGGATGTCCAATTATACCTTTACTGAAATACAATGATGCAAACAATGTATACAGTTCTATTTTGAAGATTGAACAACAGATGATTCCAAGAAGAGCTCTGCAAATCATGCTTGCCATTAGCAAGGAGGAGCTTTGCAGAATTAACACGTGCTGTTTCCATCAATGATCAGAAGGATCAAGGAAAGACATGGAAAGGTGTCCAAGATGAAGGTATGAATTAAGTGAAGGAAGAACAGACTCCAACTCGTCACACAGACAGCAACCCCAAGAATCTGTTGACCAGTTTGTCAGAAGATGCCATAGCAAAACAACTTTTCTGGAGAGAGGCTTGTGGAATTAGTGACTGCTTCCACACCAGTTATTGTCTTGAGGAAGGATATTTTGGGTAAGAAAAGGGGCATTCATTTGATACATTGCTTGAGGATGGAATTAAGTATGAAGACATAGTGCAGCCAACATTATTATTACAATCTGCAAAATGCAACAAAACAACAAAATCTGTAATTGATGCACTTTTTTCTCATCTACTTAAAAGCTGTCCAAGCTTTTGTGATACTTGGGACAGTGGACATGCACATGCAAAAATTATAATTTCTGTATTATTGCTTAAACTGCATGCACATTGACATAGGGTATATAAAATTAGAGAGATGAATAAGTGGCTTAAAGACTGGTTGGGAGAAATGAGATCCAGTTAATGGACCACTGACAACAGTACTGGGGAAAGTGGTGGCTTTACTATTGGTCAAAACCTGAGCTGTGCTGGGGCTAGTGTTCTTGTGAACCACATAACTAGGGAAAGAGAGAGGGTTTTAACCTAAATAGTGGGGCAAAGGATCAAATGTCAAATTATATGGTATATCAAGAGTAAGAACAAGGTAAGAGAAGAAAACATTAATATGGGAAATTAAGGTCAGAGAATATTTGCCAGGAAGAGGCAGTGGAAAAACAACCTACAGATACACAAAATACACCAACAATCAAAACTAGACTTTGCACAGATAACAAAATAAATGAAATAATGCTGCACATTGACGTAAATAAATGTGATCTGGTAGTCATTATGGAAACATGGCTTCAGGACAACAAGGATTGG